GAATGATTTTAACCCTTTCCCGACGTGAATATAAGAGGAAAATGTTGTCCCCAGTGACGGATAAGTAAGAGTGTTTTTTAGGGGAAAACTGCAAAATACCTATGCCTTGGGACCTATACCTTGGATTTCATCACTGATATACAATTTTTAGTAAGGATTATCACATAAGAACAACTTGTCAAAATTTGGTGTAAAAATACTGAATAGAACTGGAGATATTGTCATTTCATTGATGTATATAAATAAAAATAATGGTGCCAAAAGGAGCCTATCGTCCTGAAAGGTATTACATAATAGGGCTCCATATGGAGCCTATCGTCGTGAAAGGGTTAAATCCAATAAAGAATGATACAGGGTTCTTTATTGCAATTCAACTATACAATCACTCCAAAAATGACATTGTCTAGTTCTTTATGAAACCATAATGCACAGTGATGATCTCACTTGTTTACCAACAGTGGCACTGCTTGGTTCTTTATGAAACCATAATGCAATGTGATGATCTCACTCTTTTACCAATAATAATGGCACTGCACGGTTCTTTATGAAACCATAATGCAATGTGATGATCTCACTCTTTTACCAATAATAGCACTGCTTGGTTCTTTATGAAACCATAATGCAATGTGATGATTTCAATCTTTTACCAATAATAATGGCACTGCACGGTTCATTATGAAACCATAATGCACTGTAAAATAATGCTTCTGCTCAGCTGACCATATACATTAAATTAATGCACTTAAATATTCCCAGCTGATTGGCTGAGATGTACTAGGCATTTGAGAGACCAGAGGTTTGATTCAAGCCATTTCCAATTGTTTTATTTGATTCTCAAAAGAGAGCTTCGTTTACATGAGGGTTGTAATTACTAGCCTCTTTGGCTTTTAAGATATTAATGTATTTTCTTTTATCATATCAATGGGACTGGTATTCTAACCATTGACATTCATGAAATAGTTTGGAGAAAACAGACATAAAGATTTTGATCTAGTTGATTAATCAATGATATACGGTGGCTTATACCATAATTTAATTTGATTGTGCTTCAATTATAGTAAAGATAGTACTATTGTGGCAGATGCCAGACCTTGTGCAGAAAGCAATTTCTTAGTGATATATGGAAAGAATGTCCTTTGGTTGACATCAGAACAGGATATAATTATTTATGATCAATATATCTATATTTAGGAGAATATCTCAGTACTCTGCTTATGATCTAAGATGAGATAAAAGTATTCTGGTAAAGATATAAGGAATTTGTAGAAAATGGCTCAGTTGATGGCTTAACTCATTCATTATAATATATTTCATTGTTTACAAATTTTTATTCCTTTATAGGCACCCTTTATTCAAATCTCAAATGTATACCAATTGTTTTTTCTATTCCACTGAGACATGGAAGCAAGCACCAGAATATGTCACAGATTTGATTAATAGCTACATCTACTTCAATTAAATGTCACAAAAAAACTTTATTACAATTAAAATGCTTCTTCCAGACCATATTACAGTATTGATTATACAGTAATGTAAAAAATAATATGATATTCAAATGTATAATTTTAGCTTATGTGGGTATTAAATTAAGATAAAAGATAGTTTTGTCAGAAAATCAATTATGTATGGTGACTAGCCTCTCATATGATGCCATCAAGATATCAAAGAGTTCTGTTTTTATAATCATTTTTTTCATTGTTAATGACATTTATTTGTAATATATTCTACTTTTGAGGATTCATCATTCATTTATAACAATTATGTCATAAATCCTAAAGGCATATTGATGCATTTTGTCTCTGCTTCAATCATGATTTAATAATTTCTGAAAGTTTCTTCAAAACTGGTATATTTTCATCTAAATAAATATGTATGTACAAATGCCAAGGTCCAGAGAGAAACTTGTAATTGTAGTATACATCATTTTGAAAAAAAACAAAAATCAATTTAAAAAACATTCATACCTATATAGACAACTAGTCCATTTTTAATTTCTTAATCCAAGTGAATGTTCCATATCTATTTACCCCATTTTCCAGGTAGGCCTAGGGTAAACCTAGACTACAGCTACTAATACTACAAACTATGCTGATGAAGTCCTGGATCTCTGCCAAGACACAAGTCTCATTCAATGCTGACACATGTTAAGTCTCATTAAGCATACTTTACGATTGAACTTTTGAAACTAAAAACTCAATCAAAATTAAATATGTTCTTATATAGACGTTTGCACAGATGTTACAATATACATGTAAAATCCAAGATACTCTGATCAGATGGTCTATGTTAACAGAATGAGGAGTATGTCTAAACATATTGATAGTTTGTTAACATTAAAAATATATTCAAGGGTAGTGGTGAAAACCATCAAGGTAACCAAATAACCAAACAGGAGAAAACAGTTTTGTTAATATTCATCACCTTTCAAAAGTGTAAAAAAATATCATGCTCAAAGATCAAGAGTGAATGAGAAAAACAAATGTTCTAATTTTGAGGGTGTTAAACCAACAAAATCAAATATATTTTTAAGCAACTAAGAACATCTCGACATGACCCCCTAATCATTCATCTGTCTAGGTTGTCTAGTGTTTTTTTGTACAAAAGAGTAAAATATAGCAAAGCAAGTTTTACTTTTGCTTAGAGATCAATGTGAACTTTTATACAGAGATACAAAAAACAGACCTAATGCATGATGAATGTCACATAAAAAAATATGTTTGAAGATCAACCATTAATTTTTATGAAAAGAAACATTTAAATGTCAAGGTTCTTTATATTTCAATTAATTATACAAACATGAAAAACTCCAAATAAACGTATGACCAATAATTACTTCAGAACCAGTTTTCAATCTTCTGTGCAAATATGTAAGAGACCAGACTGTTTCATATATCTTGGTGCATTGCACATTTGTAATCATCATTCGAATCAAAATCAAAATATGAACCCTCTCTAACAGATTACAAATGTATATTTATGTGAAAGAAGCAGAAACTCAATCAACCTGGAACCTAGATGCTAACAGTAAAATAATACATTAAGAGTTTTATGCATTATTTATATTGACAAGAAATATATGAGCACAATAAAGGTAATAGGTAGACAGTACAGTGGTAACTGATAAGACGAGGACATCTACAACATGATACATTTCAAGGTTTCTGATTGGAAGATCAAATGATTCTTTAAGGAATAAAGAACTCAATATTTGTTATCCTTTGATGATGGGATTTCAAAAAAGTCTGTGACTAAGACTATATACAATTCAGGTCCATATGAACATATCAAAATTGTGCTTGCTACAATCTAATATACATTAATGTTCAGGGATTTCATGATGAAATATTAAAAAAGAAGTTAAGTGACATCTTTTAACACATACATGAACTTAAAAGTGAAGTGTCATTGATTCTGATTCTTAAGAAACCAATCATGCTTTCAACTGATTTTAACCTTTTATTTACACCATCAAATGACTTTTGTTCAAACTTACTTTCTGAACATATCAAAGCTTGAGAAGAAATCCTAAACAACATAACAAGTTCCAAATTGAATCATCTTCTTAAATTTGGAGTGAAATCAGAGAAGTTAGCATTGTTCATAAACTTAGAATGTAGTGTAGTTTAGATAACTTTGTTACAAAAGAAAAAAATATAACATTGTGGCATGTTTACTGAAGTTTGCATCAATCGTTCAATTCCAAAAACAAAAATTGTATCTTCCTCACTAGGATGAAAGAAACGCTACTTTCCATAAACTGTACTGGTAAAGCTTATTTTGTTATTAATATGGTACAATATTTAAACATAAAAAGTCCTGCCTCAAAGGAAAAAAGCCTATAAGGGGCGCTGAATTGGTTGTTATACATGTAAGGTCTGAGATTTATTTCAATGCAGATCTCACATCTACAGGTAAATATATCAACATATTCAAACAGGGCTTTAAATTGACAACAATATCAAGCGCGTAACCAGGCATACGTGAGGGTACGCAGATGCGTACCCTAAATGATGGATCAAAAAATAAATTGTTGGAAAAAAGTAAAACAAAATAAAGCATAACAATGTATACAATAAATAAACAATGCCCCATTACACAGTCTGATATCACTTAGAACGCACCATGTAAGGGCTAAAATCAAAAAATTTCCCCGAGGCATGCCATGACCCCCTAGTTTTGCTCAGTCTCAGGCCTCACGTACCTGCAATCATTATCCTGGTATTATGCCACTGATATTAGCTACATGAACCAAGAGCCAGGGGCGATGATGAAGCTGTACAAGATGCAATGAAAGGAAATTTTGCATTTATTTGGTGATTATTTTTGTTTGTGATCCCTTTATCTTTAATTCAACACTTGGCTTTGTTCATCATGAATTTCTTTTCTTGACTTGTCTTGAAAATCAATGCAACTTCAGAAATGCAGATATCATTACCTTTACTCCATATATTGAAATTACTTATCTGGGATGAATAAACATATATTGAAATACAGCTTACCATATATCACAGGTTGCATATGCCTTTATAACCTACAAAATAGATATACAAACTAATCGTGAAAAAGTTATTTTGACTTTTACCGGAAGTAATTAAAGTACACATTTCAATATTTTGCATATACAAAAATCGAGTCTAAACAGACATTTGATGTAAAAGATTTGCATATTCAATCAATTACTTACTCCCTTTTATTGTATCAATTAGGCTAATAGCATTATGCATTGATAACCTAGTCGGTGATAGGTGTGGAGTTTATGGACTGTGTATTGCAAACTTTTTAAAGGATACCCGGGGGAATGCTCCGATTTTATGACCTTTGTTCCAAATACACGTCAAAGTTGGCTTCTAAAAGTTTTCACTGAGCTTATAAGAGCTGTAAGGGAACGTTGCTACCCGAAGCAAAGACTGAAAGAGGAAAATTACCGGATAGTGGTAATAAATTCATGCGACTTCGTTCAGTGCATAACATTGCCCTCGGTACTTTCCGTATGATTCGTTAAATTCCGGAATCCAACAAAATGGCAGAAGGTAAATATTATAAATTTATTCAATATTTATTTATGGGGAATGTCTATAAGTTATGGAAGCAACAATACGCCAGAGGTAACCAGGGTATTGCCATCAACCTTTTAAAGCCATTTGAGACGGTTGAAGAAAACTTAATTGTAGTTTGTTGAAACAAGCAGAGAAGTGCCAACAGCTGAAAAATTTTGAGTGATCACAGATCTGAGATCAGTGATCTGTGGAAAATTCTCCTATAAGCTGATTATATACAACAGGTTATGAAAGTGAAATGTCCCTTTCTTATCTTCATGGCTATTGTGCATGCGACTCACAATCTGTATGGTCCATTCGCGAAAATAAGCCTCCTACTACTTTTATGGCTTGACTAGGTCAGAAGTACTTGAAATATGAGAGTTACCTGAAGATTGGGAGTCTTAATTACCTTAAAGAAGTTAGAACACAAATTTCAATGAAACGGGATCGCCTTTGATGCGTCAACCATTGAGCATTTAGCACAATATCCAAGAGGTAAAATATGAACCGTGAAACTGAATGATTTCCTTGTATTACAAGTTGTAAGTTCTGGAAGTTTCAATATGAAAGATTCCCAAACATATGTGAAAATTGAATATTTGTTTGTTGATTTTATGATTTACATATGCGTTTATTATCCCATTGAACGAAGTTCGGAGGGATATAGGGAACGCCTCCGTCCGTCCGTCCGTACGTACGTCCGTCCGTCCGGGCAATAACTCAAATACCGTTGGCCCGATTTTGTTCATATTTTGTACACATATACCCTATGGATTTTCAAAATGGCCGCTCATTTCAAAATGGCGGCCATTTTAGTGCCGAATTTACAGTAATTTAGGTGCAATATGTAAAACTGTAATAGCAATATGTTTTAGATGTAAAAAAATTATATAGGACATTAATAAAGCTAGAAATGTAGATATTAAAGAAGCACATGGCAGCCATCTTGAAAAATGGCGGCCTTCACTCGTTATATTACGAGTTTTGCTGTAACTCGAAAAGTAGTGGAGCGATTTTGTTCATATTTGGTATGTGAATACTATAAACATTGCACACTGTCTAAAGACACTTTTGGTAGAAGGTGGCCATTTTAAAAAATGGCCGCCATTTTAACGTATTTTACTATAACTCGAGCTCCTTCCGTTCTTTAAAGCATCAAACAGATTGTGATCGTGATTTTTTCCATTGACGTTTACAGTAATTATGCGAATGTTACAAAGAATTAACCAATATGCGAACAGCGATTGTGACGTAGCGGGCTGATATACTACTTGTATATCTGCCCGTTTAGAGTTTTTACAAACCGGCTTTATGTACCCATAACACATCCAAGTATGCGATAAAGGTATTTATCCTATGCCAAGTAGAATTTTAGGGAGATAAGTTGGTAAGATATATCCTGTATCCTGAATTTGAGGCATATCCAGAACCTCTATATATCTCTCTCCAGGGCATACGAGGGTTGATCATAAAGTTCTCATAATATCTCTCTTATTTCTTTATTTTTCAATATTTTCAAATGAAATTTTCACAGAATGCGCAGCATGGAATGTTTTATTAATCCAGCCAACAATATTTAGAATAACAGAAACATTAAATAAGAAATGGTTGCCATAGTAACTTGAAATCAAGGCACCCGGGGCAAATAAAAAAACTAGCTCGAATATCATGTTTAACCATGTTTCAATGCATGATAAGTTGTCAAATAAGCTATCAAACACATTAAATAGTCAAATAATATGGGCTCTTAACTGTTGTGAACTATTATAATGGTCATGTGAATTGTGTGATCTCATAATGGATGATTGTTATGCTTCATTTGAAGTGACTGTTAGACCCCATGACTGTTTTGTCAAATATCTTGAGGAAAATTGATTTTGCCCCTTTAGTTCATTTTTAACATGTACAGACCACACCAATTTTGTTGAAATCTTAGCAATATATTTGTTTTAGATCATGTTTAGTCTGACCAAAGGATCTTACAAACTTAACTTAACATTTTTTCAGTATGAATTTTATTTCCTGAAGATGTCTGCATCTTTTGCATCCTCTTACTCAGTCATTTCTGATCATTAGCTTTGCGTCTTAGACTCTGGTATCACATCTAATGGAGCATGAAAGCACCCCCTATGACAGCACACAATTTACATGATCGATTTATTTAATTCTTAAAGCACTTTACAACATATTCAAGTTAAAATTTTAACGTGTTTGGTAATTCATGAGAGTTTATTACGTACAAATACATGGTTGGTTAAGCTCATTCTCTCAATTACTTTTATTTGCCCCGGGTGCCTTGATTTCCCATTTCTATGGTAACCATTTCTTATTTAATATTTCTGTTAAAACTAAATATTTTTTGCTGAATTAATAAGACATTCTATGCTGCACATTCTGTGAAAATTTCATTAGAATATATTGAAAAATGAAGAAATTAGAGAGATATTAGAACTTTATGATCAACCCTCGTATCTTCCCGCTTTAAAAAAAAGTTGAAAAAAATGTTTGAGGAAAAATGTTGAAAAGAAATTAGAAAAAAATTTGAAACATTTTTTGAAAAAATGTTGAAGATAAATTAGAAAAAATAAAGAAAACTCCACTGGATATAAGATAAAGCAGTGATGTACAGTCAGTTTGGATATGGGGTTTATCCCTACAGTCCCTCAGGTAGATATCCATATATCCCTCTGGATAAACCCCATATCCAAAACTTCCCAGTACACGACCTTTATTTATTGTTAAGAGTACATATAATATTGTTGTACATGTATATTATACATATTTGTTTCCTGCAGGTCTGATGTAACAAAATAGATTCATATCCAGTTGTGTTTGCTATTGACGATGCCATTGACTTTCTAATTGTCGCATCCAAGTGACTTCATTAATACATAATAGAAGATCTTATCTGGGACATTATGAGGTAAAACAATATTTTGAATTAAATTTAGGATCTTCTAATTTTGATCTCATTTAGGTTGATGACTGAAATGTGAGGTTCTTTTACATTGTCATTCTATACCCTTGCTTGATGTAATAGAAAATACAGTTCTAGGTATACATACCAAAGTGGTAATTAGTTTCTTGTTATGAGAATGTACATGTATGTGACGAAGGAGGTAAAATGTCATAGAAGAAACCTTTAATCAGATCAGGAACATTATCGAATTGAATGATTTTCAGAAACATTTGTGAACACATTTTACATATTTCTGCACATCAAATTGCAGCTGTGAAACGCAAATTATTATTTTCTACCTGAACCATGGGCTTTCAGTAGAGAACTTTCCATTTAAACTTTCAGTGGGGGCAGATATGGTGTGTCAGGCAATGCCTATGACAGGCATGTACATAGAGATGTCTCTACAGGACAGAAGCTGAAAGAAGCTTACTGGACCACCAAACAGGCTGTTATAAAGAAATTGGGCAAGAAAGAGGATGCCCATGTTGTGGCATCAGATGCAGAGCTTGATGCTAAATTAGAGGTTAGTATGCAAGATGTAATTGAATGTACATCTCACTGATTGAGCTTATTTGATTACAAGCCGTGGTTGTCATATTTAAAGTGTTGAGATATTCCTGTCTGAACCATTATGATGCAATACAAGGAATGATGTATGGTATTGGACAGCTTTTTTATGACTAGACTGGCACCACATAGCAGCGTTTTACCTTTCAAAGTGATTTGATTATTTAAGTTTTAATGATACAGAACACATTTGTTCTAATGTTTGGGAGATATCACTGGATATAGTGATTCGTTTGAGTCACTCTACAAATCATTTAGAATCTATTGGTACATTTACATGTATACATGATGATGTATTTTATGATATTTTACATCACAGTACAGTGAAACCTGTGGAACAGCTCTAGAAGTGGAACACCTCAAGACCAACTGATTCACGTAAATGAACCTCTATACGTGGAACACCTCCCAAGTGAAACACTTTAGAGATTGTGTTCTTTTTAGACAGGTTTTACTGTATTTCTAAATACTTTCAGGTATTCCAGTCAATTCAAGTATCAAGTATGAACCTTTTAAAAGCGATAGAAAAGTACCAAGACAGATTATGTTGTAAGTCAATTTATGCATCCCATATGAAAGTTTAGATGGAAAGAATGGTCTAATTATGTATAGAATGTCTATGCTTTTATCAGATAAAATACATGGTGGTATAAAATAGGATATATTTTTAACTCACATTAAAGATTCATTTTTGATGTTTTGTGTCAACTTCTTTCAAAGAATGAATGACTGATATATAGCACTTATAGTATTTTTTGAATATTGTAATTTAATGAAAATGTAATTAAAATGATGGCTTTATTTTGTTTTGATTGCAATATGTCCATTGTGTCAGTTTACCTGAACATTGTATCAAATAAACTACATGTAATCATCATCTCTGGCTGCCATTTATAACCAGTTGACTCGTGCGTCATTCATTCATTTTAACTTATTCCATTCGTACAACCTTAGTCTGTACATTCTTCACTTTTTCCATAACAAGCTTCAAATCATTATTCTAGCATTGTCCCAAGAAGAAAATGGAATGGGACGTTTCCTGAAACAGAAGTGTAAGGAAGACAAAACTAGGGCAGGCAAAATGATGGCAGCTGTTGGCAAATCACAAAGTTTTTCATCGCAACAAAGGTAAACATTATGGTTACACAAATGTACGTCATCTTCGGGGAAACAACTTTGAGAAACTGGAGAGATTTCATAACTCAATCATAGCCTTATATAACCCTTATTTTTATAACTTATAGTTTGTATAGTGTCATCACTCATATATATGTTCAAAGGTTATCACTATTGATAGAACCTTGTATATAAGTGCGTTCATTCCTATCTTGTTGAAGCATGTTTATCAGTCAGATCATTGTTCTTTGCGGTTTGAGCCAGATGTTTCGGACTTTATGTTATACTCCCATGCAACTGAAGGTTCAAAGGCTTTGGATGAACTGTGATAACCTTTCAACAGTTACAATTATCATCAATTAGAGTTAATATGTGCTAAATTTTGTTTTAGGTTAGCTCTTAGAGTCCCTTTGGTACGGTTATACCAAGAAGTCGAGACATTCCGTTACCGAGCCATATCTGACTGTTTACTCACAATAAACCGCATGGAGTCTGCCAGGACAGAATATAGAGGAGCTTTGCTCTGGATGAAAGATATATCTGAAGAATTAGATCCTGATACATTTAAACAGCTAGAAAAATTTAGAAAAGTGAGTATATTTGTTAAATCTATGATTGCATACATGATTAAGATTCCATAGAAATGTAAATCTAAACAAATTAGAGAAGTTTCTGTTATGTGATAAGGTCTATATTTTGACATAAAGTATAAGCCTTTTAGATTTTAAGAAAAATTAATGATTATATTTTGGAATACCTGTTTCAAAAAGTAAAAAAAGTAACCATTGTTATGTAATGACATCATAACTATGTAACAGTGTTGTGTTTCAATAACAGAACTCTTCTGAGGCTGAAACACATGAGGTTTAAATAAGAACATTTTAAATAAAAACAGTGGGCTGAGAATATGTGTATGTGTGACTTTGAAGGAATTTGTCTTATTTTAGAAACAATCCATCCATTTCTCTGGCTCATTTGATACTAGTGGGTAGAAAACAGCTGCTACTTAAAATTTGATGGTCATTTTCGAGAACATCTAGGACTGGTGTTCCTTTCCAAAACCGTTTGTATATTTATATGTTCCTGAAACTTTTGACCATTCAGGGCTATAATAAAAACATGCTACCTTTTCTGTTTTTCTGTTCAGGTGCAAACACAAGTTAGAAAAGCCAAAGCAAAATTTGACAAACTGAAATTGGATTCCATGCAGAAGATCGACTTGTTAGCTGCCAGTAGGTGCAATATGTTTTCCCATGTGTTGGCTAACTACCAGACATCACTTTTGCAATTCTGGGAAAAAACAGCTAGGACCATGTCTGCAGTTGCAGAAAGTTTTAAAGGATACCAATACTATGAATTTGACATGTTGAAGGTATGTATATGTAATGTTATGTCTATTATCTACTTTACGAGACAAATACATTGTGACCCAAAAAAATGAACCAAATATTTATTACTAATATTATAGTATTCTACACTTGAGGTCATTTTAAGTGTACATGTATCTTTCATGATGCCATGGTAATTATAAAACAGGTGTATATTGCAGTAAAGTAAGTCAAAATGATATTTCTAAACCAAACTTAGCCATGATTCATATATAACATTTATTGATTGCCAGTCGACACATTGTCTTTTTGTATGATAGACATTTTGAGAATTGATGACTTTAAAATATTCTGTAGGATTTCCTATGCCTTGGTGTTGCTGTTATCTAGTTTACATTGGGAATATTATTTGAACCAGTTAGAACAATGCTGAATTTTAAAATTCTGAATTTTATTAATTTCAATTTCATTTGCTAATAAATCAATAATTATTTTTATCCTATGCCAAGTAGAGTTTTAGGGAGATAAGTTGGTAAGATATATTCTGTATCCTGATTTTGAGGTTTCCATATCCAGAACCTCCATATCTCCCGCCATATCTCCCGCTTAGGTGCATATCTTCCCGCTTCCGGTAATCCAATTGAATTACTTTGCATATGAATGATTTGTTTATTTTTACACCTTGTACTATTGAAATGGCCATATGCCCCTGAAAACTCTACTTGGTATAGGATAAAGCAGTTATGTACGGTCGGTCGGGATATTGGGTTCATCCCTTGTGAGATATGCATATCTCCCTCTGGATAAACCCCATATCCAAAACCTCCCAGTACATAACCCTTATATATTAACCATTATATTATAGGAGCTGGCAGAGCCTAGTAGAAAACTTGCAGAGGAAACGTCCAAATCAGATGAAAGTGATGAAGACAGGTTCGTCTTTCCACTAATTAATGTTTGTATATAATCAGCTTATATGCTGGCATGTATTGTATATGTTGTACTGTATGTGGCACATTTTAAAAACATCTCTTGCTAGGATTCTCATTTTAACTTATTTTTCTTCATTAATTGAGGGATATAGTAATTCACCTATGGCATGTCTATAAATCCTTTATGTCTAGTCAATAAAATTTAAATGCTATGTCATTACTCGTTCCGTAGTTTTTCTCATTAAAGTCCTTTATGAAAAAACTAATTTTTTAAATGTCACTGTTATACTTGTCATGTTATATTCACTTCATTAAAGTGGCAGAAAAACTCTTTCCTTGTCAAAACATTTGAATTGATCGTTGATAAATTTTTCTCCATGATTCAAAAGCTTATTTTAAAAATGGTAGCCATTGTTATTGCAAAAAATCATGCTTTTGGTCATAACACCAAACCTATTTCATCAACTTGCTTGAAATTGAACAAGTAGTTTACCTTGACAAAAAAATTTCCAACAATTTAAGCAAGGCGTACTAGATGAACCATATAATAGTAGAAGTTAACCCTATTAAGAGAAAAAGAAAAGACTTTATCCTTAAAAAGTCAAAATATCCACAAAAATTATAGGGGGCCCTTGATCACCACAATTTTTTAACCAGAATGTGCTATTAAATGTTGTCGCTTCTTCTAGTAATGAAAATCACCACACAAACCAGAAACAACAGCATAGCAACATTAATAAGGACATTAGAGACCATAACAATCTTATAGACTTTGGTGAGATCCAAGCTCAACCTGACATTGAGAAAAAGACTGACTATAATAAAAATCATGGGGTGAGTCTGGAATCAGGAAAGGATGCTTTAGAACGCTACCATAGACGTTTATCTAATATGGAAAGTGCCTTAGATCAACTGGAAGAGGATTTAAAAACTAACGATGCTGATCCTGATAATAGCATGCCCCCCAGTTATTTCCAAGTAGCTTCACAGAAAACAGATGTGAAAAATAGAAAAACAAAAGAACAACTAGAAAAGATGCAACAATCAGCAAAAGATACAAAGTATGTTAAGATGAATTGGAACTAAAACTAACCTCTAGGATCTAACTAACATCTGGCACCTAATTAACTTATTATCTAGCATCTCACTAACTTTTAAATCTAACCCCTAATATACTAAGTACTAATAGAGTGATGATAGTTTTAAGTCATGTAGATGCAACAGTCAGAAACTGAGGATTTTTTCCGAAAACCATGCATGTTTCCTCTTCACCATGGGAGTCTACTAAAAATTAATGATGCCTTATTTGGATGCACCATGGATGTAATGTGATCTAGCAGAGCAGTCAAATCAAATTGCCACTTTTCTCATTGTTCTAATGATAGTTTTCAATGCTAAAGGCCAATTATTTAAAAAAATATTCATAAAGAATTTTTTTCATTTTGTTTGTTTTGTTTTTACTGTATAATTTTGGCTTAGAATTCCTGATGCAGAAATGTTTAAAATATCATTTATATTTCTAAACTGTATTTTGAAATAACAAATGTTTAAATATAACACCCTGTTTGTAGTCCTTTTTGGTGGTTACATGGTTTGTGGTGAAAAATTATTTTGTTAACCTATTTTAGTTAGTTGCTATGTTTATTATAAGATAAGCTATTTTTTAAATTGATAATTTAAAACAGTATTTTTAGCTTACATGGTTGAGCTAATGTGATTACCTGCTGTCTGTCTGCCACAGTTGTTCACACTGGTGATCCGCTCGATTACGCTGGTTACCAAAATGGTTCATATTGGTAACAAAATGTCGGAACATTGAAGGTACGATTTTTCTTTTTTCCTTATTTCACGCGTTGTAGGCAGAATCCTCACGACATTTTTTCTCAGCATCATATGTTTTAGAAAATGTACATGTTTGCGAAAAAATAGCTCAGAAGACAACAGAATCGTCGATTTAATTCCTCACTTAAGTAACATAAACGGTTTGGGTTAAAAGTGCAGATCTTAACCGTTTTTCGAAAAACTATTTATGTAATTTAAGTGAGGAATTAAATCGACAATTCTGTTGTCTTTTGAACTATTTGTTCGCAAATTATTATGTACATTTTCTTAAACATATGATACTGATACACGTTTGTATTAAAAATGTCGTGGGAATTCTGCCTACAACGTGTGAAATAAGGAAAAAAGAAAAATCGTACCTTCAATGTTCCGACATTTTGTTACCAAAATGAACCGTTTCGGTAACCAGCGTAATAGAGTGGATCACCAGTGGTTCAGTTGTTAGGGTCACCAAAACTGATCTTGGATGAAACTAACTGAGCCTTAAAGAAGTGGAAAATGTCTCACATAGCACATACCTTCAGTCATTAAAGTAGATAAAACAACAGAAAGGCCTTCAAAAATATTTTGGGGTCAAAGCTATGTTGAAACCATAAAATGACAGAGTTAAGGCTGCCTATAATTCTAAGAGAATTGATGTTCAAAATTCAAGATTCTAAACATCCAATTGGTCAAGGCTAATGTTGTTTTGTGCACTGTGCAGAAGTGAAAACCTAGGAGAGAAAGCAGGTGTTGATAATAAGCTCAACAATTCAGAAAAAATTGCTGATGGGGTGCGGTTGACTTTTTCATTTAGGAGATTTTGCCAAATTAGTAATGGACATTAGTAAAGAAACCTCATTCAAATTGATTCAATTGTATAATGCAATAAGTTGTAATAAAATCTTGAAAGACAGAATGACATTGATCCCAGATCAATCGTTCATTTAGAATTGTATAACTCTAGAGTATACCAAATGGAGTGTGGTCTCCACACTACACTACGCTACTGTTCAATACAGTACACTGCCACATTAAATGAATGGAAGGACATGGAGTTTAAAATGTTGGAAGCAATCAAGCGTGTAACTGTTTTACTTACAATCCTAATTTTATTTTTCTAAAATAAGAATTAAGACCTGATTGAATATAAAAGTTATTGAAGATTTAAGATGCAGAAATGTCCATGTGGAATTTTTTATTTTGTGAGGAACAATTGGACTTAATAAGTATGAAATGAAGTGATGACATGAGAGCATGGGAAAATACTGTTAAATTGTGACTTATTTTCAATTTATCTCTTTACATTCTATTTCCTTTAAATACATATATGTATATTTAGGTGTAAGATCACTCATAGGTTTTAACAAATATTTTCTAAAAAAATGATTCCAGACTTATTGCACTTGGTGAGGAGGCTACAGAAGATGCCACAAATGAGAAGAATCTGCATGGTTCCACAGCTGATCAAGCCCATAATGGTAGTTTAGAGAATCTCCTCCTGAATAATACTTCCACAGCTAAGAAGGGTATGTTTAAAAAACTTTAACTAAAATATTTTTACTGAGCTTAAATTCAGGGTATGAACTTAGTCAGGATGTTGTAGATCATAATTTTGATCATAGTTACCCGGTACTTGTAAATTGTTATAGGCATATATGATATTCATTCTAAAAATCCATAGCCTCATGATATCAGCTTTTGACATTGACTCATGGATTGAGACAAAACGTCTTTTCAAGTTTTCACCCGTGACCAGTTTACACCATTTTCCGAGTCTTCTTGGTTTGCAAGAAATTTTCAAAGTCAAAATGTCACATAGTTCTTTGTGTGAACCAGGAGCCATGGTTCCTTTATTTGATTTGGCTTTCGGGTCAGACTTAGACTGAGATTTTATATATTGCAACATTAATATAATGATTTTCAGTGACAAAAACTCCTCAAGAAGAAACTACAGAAAATATACAGGATCCATTCATAGATTTTGGAGATGATTTTGAGGAAGAAGAAAACGATGAGTTTTCTGGGAAAGCTTTGCCCCTATCCAAACATGTAGAAAATCCTAAAAACAGTGAGTATTTTGTTGTTGTTCCATTGAGTGTTATATAATATATAATATTGTGATGAGTTCACCAATGAGTAGGTGTCACAGAATAATTTTGCCTACACATTTCCAGGCAAATCATTTGAGGAATTGGTTTTGAGTCACATCAGATGTGATATATTTTTATGGCTATTTTTCTCGCTTGGTTTCAAAAATGTTGAAAAGATTTTCACGCCGTCATAGAAAACAGTATAAAGCACCTCATGTACAGTTACTTTTATTATGAGAAAGAGAACTTACAATGACACCAGGGCGACTTGCAAATTTGGGGTTTTCATGATTTTGGCATGCTTTTCAAAAATATTGCTTTCAACCTAGTACATGTACTCTATTCAGATAATTTGATTCTTGGCTAGATTCTCTGGGTGAAATAGTCACAGTTAAATGCAATATCTCAATCAGTCTTATACATTTGTATCAACTACTTCAGATATTCACTTGTTTATTTTAGTTTCAAAAGACATCCTAACAGAGCCATCTTCAAATATTCACTTGTTTATTTTAGTTTCAAAAGACCTCCTAACAGAGCCATTAGAATTTGATGACACTGACAAAGATGATATGACTCTCCTTAATGAAATACTAAATGCTCCACCTGGAGGGGATGAGTTCTCGCAGGAGTGGCAGGATGTCTTTGGGGATACCTCTGCCCCTGGAGCCATGAGGAATGAGGCTGGGGATCAATCACAGTTCATGCTACCCTCTCAGCTGTTAGACATGTCAAGTCTCACTTTAAACAAAGGTACATGATTCAAACATATCACTTGAAATTTCTTGTGATAGTAATAATATACAAGGCATTAACATGACAAAATGTCACCACCTAGTTGCTCACAATATTATGAGTTCAAACTTAAGTCAGATTTGAATTTCTGAGAACTTGTAAAGTCAAATTTGAACTTCTGAAAAGATGTAGATGATTTGAATTTTTTTTTGTCAATTTGAAGCAAGTTGAAAACAGACCTTTTTGACGTTTTTGACCTTGAGAAGGTCATTAAAGGTCAAATGTCAAATCTAAAGTCAGATTTGAATTTCTGAGAACATGTAGATGATTTTGAAAAAAAAAATTAGTCAATTTGAAGCAAGTTGAAAAAAGACCTTTTTGACCTTGAGAAGGTCATTAAAGGTCAAATGTCAAATCTAAAGTCAGATTTGAATTTCTGAGAACATGTAGATGATTTTGAAAAAAAAAATTAGTCAATTTGAAGCAAGTTGAAAAAAGACCTTTTTGACCTTTTTTGGCCTTGAGAAGGTCATTGAAGGTCAAATGTCAAATCTAAAGTCATATTTGAATTTCTGAGAACATGTAGATGATTTTGAAAAAAAATTTAGTCAATTTGAAGCAAGATGAAAAAATACCTTTTTGACCTTTTCTGACATTGAGAAGGTCATTGAAGGTCAAATGTCAAATCTAAAGTCAGATTTGAATTTCTGAGAACATGTAGATGATTTTGAAAAAAAAAATTAGTCAATTTGAAGCAAGTTGAAAAAAGACCTTTTTGACCTTTTTTTGACTTTGAGAAGGTCATTGAAGGTCAAATGTCAAATCTTAAGTCAAATCTAAAGTCAGATTTGAATTTCTGAGAACACGTAGATGATTTTGAAATTTTTTTTTAGTCAATTTGAAGCAAGTTGAAAACAGACCTTTTTGACCTTTTTTGACCTTGAGAAGGTCATTGAAGGTCAAATGTCAAATCTTAAGTCAGATTTGAATTTCTGAGAACACGTAGATGATTTTGAAAAAAAAATTTAGTCAATTTGAAGCAAGTTGAAAACAGACCTTTTTGACCTTTTTTGACCTTGAGAAGGTCATTGAAGGTCAAATGTCAAATCTAAAGTCAGATTTGAATTTCTGAGAACATGTAGATGATTTTGAAAAAAAATTTAGTCAATTTGAAGCAAGTTGAAAAAAGACCTTTTTGACCTTTTTTGACTTTGAGAAGGTCATTGAAGGTCAAATGTCAAATCTTAAGTCAAATCTAAAGTCAGATTTGAATTTCTGAGGACACGTAGATGATTTTGAAAATTTTTTTTTGTCAATTTGAAACAAGTTGAAAACAGACCTTTTTGACCTTTTTTGACCTTGAGAAGGTCATTGAAGGTCAAATGTCAAATCTTAAGTCAAATCTTAAGTCAGATTTGAATTTCTGAGAACACGTAGATGATTTTGAAAAAAAAATTTAGTCAATTTGAAGCAAGTTGAAAACAGACCTTTTTGACCTTTTTTGACCTTGAGAAGGTCATTGAAGGTCAAATGTCAAATCTAAAGTCAGATTTGACGGTCAAATGTCAAATCTAAAGTCAGATTTGAATTTCTGAGAACATGTAGATGATTTTGAAAAAAGATTTAGTCAATGTGAAGCAAGTTGAAAAAAGACCTTTTTGACCTTGAGAAGGTCATTGAAGGTCAAATGTCAAATCTAAAGTCAGATTTGAACTTCTGAGAACATGTAGATGATTTAGAAAAACATTGAAGTCAGTCTAAACAGTATTTGTTAAGTTATAGGAAGTTGTAAGAAATTGTTACAGACGCCGGACGCCAACCGCCAGACGCTGGACGCCAACCGCCGGACGCCAACCGCCGGACGCCAACCGCCGTCGCAAAAAAACGGAGACCATAACAATATGTCACCACCAACATAATAAAAAACGGAGACCATAACAATATGTCACCACTTTTGGTGGTGACATAATAATAATTATGATGTTGAAGTAATTATATGCGTACTCTGCAGTATAGTTGTGGAGTAATTAAATGTCATATGTTATTGAAGGTATGGGGCCAGAGAGTCGGCAACCTACACAAGGAATTCAACAAGGGAAGCAAACTCCCAAACAACAGCAAAACAAGTCAAAACCTGGCACTAAAAAGGTAAAATATTCTAGTCATATGAATTGATTTGAAAAAGTGGAACAGAAATATTTCTTATGGATAACAGGCAAATATTTGAAAACCATGAATTTTTTCGTGAATTGATTTAAAAATTGCTCATTTATTGGCAATAGACTAGATGAGTAGAAATAATCTTGATTTACGTCATTAAATATTCACAAGTCAGTCAAAATGATGTCATATTGGAAATCTACATGTAAAAGTACATCTCAAATATGGTTTCGAAAATTGTTTATCAACTTGGAAATGTTTTTTTGAAAATGTGACTTCTTGTTTGGGGAGATTCCCCATCTAAGATTGGGTATATTTTCCATTCTTAACAAAAATAATGTGCTTAGAAATTCATGTTGTGTCATGGAGAAATTCTAGAAGTCAAGATTATTTCTACTCATCTAGTCTATTGAAATAAATTTAAATTTACTGAATGAATTCAGGTATCAATTAATTGTGAGCTTTTTGAACTTTGCCTAACATGAATCTAGGGTGCATCTCTTAACATTGAATTTTGTTGAATGAGTAATTAATTTATAGTTTAATCTTTGTGGATTTCAGGGTGAGAAGACGGACATGTCAGCATGGTTTAATCTCTTCGCAGATCTTGACCCATTAGCTGACCCTGATGCTATTGGTCGCAAAGTGGAAGGCAGCTCTGGTCAGCAAGCTGACAGGATGTAAACTATTAAATAACATACATCTGGCAACTAGGACATTATGCTATACAGTTTAACTGAAAATAGGATTAATTTTAATAAACTTTTAAAGTTTTGCGATGTTCAGGGTGTCCATTTGATAAGCTCCCCTAAGGATAATACAGAATGTATCAGGCTTATGTGTTTTAAGTATCTTGTACTAATTGTAAAGATTGTTCAAGTTTCATTAAAATGAATAATTTTATGAATAAGGAACTACATGTAAGTAAAAAAAAGGTTATTGTAACAACTCGTTTGAATGTTGAAGTATGATAACATGCAGAAATAAGCAGTTAAGTACTGAATGAACTTATTTACAATTATACCACTGCACCCTTATTTACTATTAACCTTAGGGTTGACCTTCGTCTTATTTCTTTAACATAGGCCTGTGTATTGAGGAAAAACCATGTTTTTGGCTGCCTGTAACTTTTTTCAGCTTTCTTCCTCATATATGAAATTCTCCACTTTGTGGTAACTTTGGATGATTTTTACAATGGTGCATTACACTTAACTTTGAGACATCTGTATATATGATCTTAATGGGAGGGGGTTTGTATATAATTGGCACCTTGAGTTGTGGTATTTATTGGTGTAGCAAAGGGCGAGGGTTCGTTGGTAAGGTCTTGAACAGTATAAATACTCATAAGTAAATAAAATTCTATGGAGATTGCAGCCTGTAAACAGTAAATCTGTCTCTAATTCAGTAATTGACACAATATTAAAATATTTATTAAGGGTTGATAACTCATATATTTCTAGGAAATATGTAAAATCAGAAAAATTATGTAAAATGCAATAAAGATTAGCAAGGCCTACCTTTAATTATTCAAAATATATAACAGTTTTAGCATGTTTTTATCCCAACAAAGTTTGTAGGGGATATAATGAATCCAAATATCCATCAGCAAGTCAGATTGAAGATTAGGCAAACTCCTATATAAATGGATTGGTTTTGGGGCACACCACGTCTCATAATACATGTAATAATAGTCATGAATGCTCAGCCATCCAACAGTTCCATAATGATCTAGGTATGATTTGATTGGGACAAATTGGTTTTTTGCCAATACCATTGTATTGCACAGGATTCTAGTAATCTGGCTTTGAAACTGGGTATGTTTTTTTAGGACACCCCTGTAGTAGATGATAGACACAATTTTTTGCCATAGTGCTACGGATTGTTCACTTGTACATAGTGTTATAAAATGGCATTTTAGACTGCAACTTTAACATAATATCGGCCACAAAAAAGTTGGAGATTATAACAATGTTTCTTATGGAGGGGGATCTGATATGAGTTGCCACTTTGTCAATAGATCTTACTGTATACATTTTTTATCCAACATCGCAAAAACATACTTATGCCACTTGAGAATTGATGGTAAATTGATATTTGCATAAAAAGTATTATTAAAATCAATGCATTATTAAAACATTCTAGCAAACAAGAACACAAATGTGTACAAAATGTCCCCACCTATGGGTGATCCCGTCAAACAGTTATCATGAAAATGAGTAGACAAGACTTTACTGACACAATTTGAGGACGGAAAATCCGAAATGGCCAACTTAAAATTTACCCAGAATGCCCAAAAATTAGTCAGTTCTAGATTTCATATTAAGAACCACCCCTGAAAATTTGAATCCGTCACACAGTTAACCAGAAAACATGTAAACAAAACTTTACAGACAAGATTTTACGATGGAAAATCCAAAATGGCTGCCTGGCATTTACCCAAATTGTCAAAAAACTAATCTGTTCTAGATTTTCATACTAAGAATCATCCCTGAAAATTTTAAATTGATCTACCAAACATTTCACCTAAAAACGCGTAGACAAGACTTTACAGGCATGATTTTAAGACCGAAAATCCAAAATGGCTACCTCGACATTTATCCAGAATGCTAAAAAACTAATCAGATCTAGATTTTTATACTAAGAATCATCCCTGAAAATTTGAAATTGATTTACCACACTGTTCACCTGAAAACGCGTGGACAAGACTTCACAGACAAGATTTTAGGACGGAAAAATCCAAAATGGCCGACAATAAAAAAGTGATTATGAGTTTTTGCTGATTTCTTTTTACAAAATTATCACATATAACTACTGTTAACAATAACTTAGGCTTTTACAACAAAGTGCACCTGAAATTATTTATAAAGCTACTAAATAGTTAAAGTATGAAAACTCAAAAACACCATTCAATATGATACAAAATATTATCGCGCGCTAACTTTTCTTAAAACATTCAAAATGGCTGCATGACTGAGCTAACAGGTCCAAAACCTAATCAGATGTAGAATGAGGTGAGCTGAACTTAAAAACAATTGTGAAGCCGTTTTTCTTAAAGTTTGCAGACAAGGATTTTAGCATTTGACTTCAAAATGGCCGACAGGAAGCAGGTATCGAGTTAATTTTTTTTCATCCACATCTGTATGCACTCATAAGTTATCCCTGAAAATTAGAAGGTGATATCTGTAGCGGGTTTGGAGAAAACTGCCGGACATACAGATGTACGGACGGACAGACAGACAGACACGCCTAGGCCGACAATATGGCCCCACACTATGTGGTGGGGACATAAGAATAGGACAAATGTTTTGTATTATACATTTATTCTATTTACAAAACCTGTATTCTTTACAGAATAACGAAGCTGATATATGCACTTGGGCATTTGGAGATCTAGAAAGAAAGTACCTATTGGCAATGCATATCTTTCATCTATATATACAGCACTTTGATGAATTAAAATGTATCTAGAGTGTAAATGAGAGTCAATTTGAAGTGCATCATCAAGACTGTTGCTGTGGTACTCCTGTCACATAATGGTCTGCCAGTGTTTGGGTCAGCTCAACAGCTTTGTTGTAAAGGTTCATGTCTGAAATATAAGTACACAGGTTCAGTTACTTTCACAGAATAAGTAAATGAGCACAATATGATTATTTGAACACTTCAAATGGCCGAAAAACGGACACATTTGTACATCCACTAATCTGCCTACTTGGATAATGAAAAGTGTTTGATAATGTATGGCAGACTTCTTGAAGTAGAAGTAGTTGGGCTTGGCCTCGGAACCCAGATAAATATTGATGTGTAATTTTGTTCAATGGAGGAATGAAAAGTCCAATATCAGTATTTAGCAATGCATTTACACAATGTCAATGCAATTGTCCTTGCAAAGAGGAAGGGGGGTTTAATCCTTCTTTGTATAGTTTGCCTGAATGAAGTTCAAAAATGTTCACTTCAAAATTTGGTTGCAATCATTAGAGAATTTTCGTTATAAGTTTTTTAAAAACTTATACGTATACTTATAAACCCAATAAACAAGGTGTTTCATAATTTCCTAATTCGTCGGGAAATATCTCCTAGGACTGTAATAAAAAGGGCCAATGGCATACCATCCGTACCCCCTTGATGTAAAGCATGTTTAGTTGTGTCATATGTGTTTTCTAGAATCAAATAGGCTGATATAGCACACAGGTTTTACAGATTTATCTACTCTCAAATATATTTTTTGTAGATGATCGTTTTGAATCACCTTGTAGAAATAACGAAGGGAGAATTAGTTCAGCTAATGAATGAGTCGAGCTGTTTGATTGGATACTATGCCTATTCAGCCGATTAATTTTAATAAGCCATTCTGGTCAGTAGGTCCACACATATACTATGCGGAGATCCAACTCTGTAAGTTTATAATCTGCGACCTTGACCTTATAATTTCATGAGAACTTTGAAATGATCGACTCGTTCGTGTAGTGATTCACTTTAAAGGGTCTTGTTTATCGTACATTACAAGGACCCGTCAACTAGCGTTTAGTTTATCGTGTTCATAATTGACACTAGCAAAGGACATTGTATTCGCAGTCCATAGTTGATGATGGAGCTTGACTATATCGCAGAGCTGTCAAGTGTCCCGCGAATGGCGGGATTATCCCGCGAATTCGATCAAAATTAGGCTAATTCGCGTGTCCCGCAATGTCCCGCGAAGTCCCGCAAATGTGGCTTTCGACCTCCGCGAATTTCCGAAATTGTTGCAATCCCCTATATGGTGATTATCTTATCTTATATAAGAAGCTAAGTTTTTGCACTTTTGAGGAGTAAAGTTTACCTAATTTTAAGTACCTAGCATGCTGTTGTTTGGTATCAAAATAAAGAGGAAGGGTTCAACTTTCATTTTAATTACGACAATAGGGATGTAGGTCACAAATAGTTCCAACGTTGGCCTTTTTACTATCCGTGTGGCCTTCATCTCAGAACTGAGCAAATGTTAGCAAACGCGAGTTACAATAAATGGACGCTGATATCTAGAAAGGGTTTGTAGAAAAAACCGGGTACCGGGTAGTAAATCCTCCATGCTGGGTTCAAACTTGGTACCCGGTACCCGGTCAAAAAACGGGTACCCAAAAAATGAAAAATACGAATATACGAGTATAACATAATTAGATTATCAGAAAACGTGTAAGATTTGTTTTGAATTTACAAAAATGTATGTAACATCCTTCAAAATTGAGCTAGAAGCTTCAAATAAAAAGCATATTTTAAGGCTCTTTTCTTCCTCTATCGTCATGACCATATTTTCATTGGTTATGTTCACGTACCAACATACGAACTCATTGAAAATAGAGTAAAATTGATTTGTCTTGTTATTCAAATCGTCTTACAATGTCATTGGCGTAGCCAGGAGAGGGTGTGATGGTGCGATCGCACCCCTTCCCCCTTCATTACCAATGGAAATATGACCATGATGATAGAGGAAGAAAAGAGGCTTAAAATGCTTTTTATTTGAAGCTTCTAGCTCAATTTTGAAGGAAGTTACATTTTTGTAAATTCAAAACAAATCTTACACGTTTTCTAATGATCTAATTATGTTGTATATTCGTATATTTCGTTTTTTGGATACCCGGTTTTTCGACCGGGTACCAAGTTTGTCTACGTAAATTTTATTTATATTATTAATTGCATTACATTTACATGTACATATTTATACAGTAGAACCTGTCCGATGGAATACCTCTCTGTAGGGAAAACCTATGAACAAGGAATGCTTTTCAAAAGAACCAAATATTTTTCCATTGACTTACATGTTAACGGACCCTCTCTGTAGGGAAAACCTGTGAACAGGGAACAAGGAACACTATTTTGGGGCAAATTATAAAAATTCACCTGTGAACAAGGAATATGGAATATTGGTGACACTGTATATTCCATTATTTTTCAGAGGTGTGAAAGTCTTAAGCCAATATCTGAATATAAAAAGCTTGGATTATATGATTGAGATTAAGATAAGCCAATTGCTTACATGATGTAGCATCCCACCCACTGTTAATTACCCTGATTTGTTTTAAAACTAATACTAATCTGTTTGTTACTTATTATCATGAGCTAATTCTTCCTTTCAAAAACCTAATTACATCAATCAGTTGTGATAATCTAGGGACTGACACAATTGTTTTATGGAGATAACAGAAAGTAAGTACATGGTCATGTTGAGCCAAATCTCTTTAGATCTTTTACTGATCCAACTTCTAGATTATCAATGATATAAAATGGGGTTGATGAAACTTGAAATTCAGTTCTTAGCACTATATCTCTACACATCATATCAATAATTACATCAACTGGACATCATCAGACGCTAACAGCAGCTAAAATCAACATGGGGAAAACATAACCAAGTATGGAGTCGGCATTTGTACAATCAATCAATATATATACAAATATGCTTATTCGGCAAGTTTGAGTTTGCTGAAAGTGTGGCCCCTCTCTATAGGGAAAACCTCTGAACAAGGAAAGTTTCCTCCAGTCCCAAGAGCATTCCCTGTTCGCAGGTTTTACTGTATTTACATTTACATGTACATAAATAAGAATGAAGGAATAAAAAAAAGAAAAAAAAAGTTTGAACCCAGCATGGAGGATTTACTACCCAGTACCTGGTTTTTTCTACAAACCCTATCTAGAAAAGTAATCTCATTCCCTATAATTTGATGTAGATTAATCGAACCCCTATATCATGGGCTTTCAATTGAAAGCCCATGCCTACAGTATGGTAGTAGTTGGTCACGACGCCAGAAGCAGAGAAGTGCAAAGTATTGTTCCAAATTTTTGAATTTCGTGTTAGATTACGATACTCACACCTCAAGCATGGTTTTTGTTTTTGATAAATTACAATAAAGTTATATTTCTATGCGTATTTTGTGAAATTATGTTGACGTTTATTTAAGTTACAATGTAACGGTGCATTATATTTGATTAATCAGTATCTGAAAGTTTGATTGAAGTACTTTTACACGCTTTTACATTAGTCCAAATCACGCAAATCCCTTGAATGTCCCGGGACATCCTGCAAATTTAGGTGGATGTCCCGCGAAATCCCGCAAATATAGGGCACCTTTTCTAGAAAATCTGTCCCTCTATGAAGTTTTTGCTGGTAAACCTGTTAACTGTCCCGCAATTAGGGTGTTTCTCCCTCGAATGGTCCCGCGAAATCACGCGAATTTGATAAAAAAAATTGGCCTATAAGCGCAATCACGCAAATCCCTTAAATGTCCCGCGACATTAGTATCGGGAATAGTTATGCCCCACTTGGTACAGATTATGAAAATCAATTTGAATTGATTTTAGTTCAACAAGACCCTTTAAACTATAAGTATACGTATAAGTTTTTGAAACAACTTATAACGAAAATTCTCTATTAACTCAGATGTTTGACATGTTTTTACTTACTGAAGGATGAAGTTGCCTCTGGAGAAAAAATGACATAATTTTCGCAGTTGATGCTGTTCGTCTCTGTAACCATCCCCTGAACCTCTACTAGCCCATCTATGTAGTCTTGTATTGGCTGGCCCACATCAATCATTATCACTTGGTCATCACTAGTCTTTAGTTTAAATGACGAGCCACTTATCTGGAATCACAGTAAAGCTACTTACTACATTTAGTCACATCCTCCGAAGAACTTAGTGGATGATGTTTGGAACCCTGCCTCTGAGGATGATTTAGTCACTGATATGATGTGAAAGCACACTCTACAAGTGTTTTGGAAACCTATGCTTCATTCATGTCATTGAATAATTGGTAAATTATTTCATTTCATTCAATGGCTATTAATGAAAAATACATCAAATTCAAGGCTCAAGACATTGTTTCTTTTCACGTTAGATCATGGTTTTGGGCTATATGGGGTTTGTTTTTCTTGACTGGTATGCACTTAGAGTTTGCTTTTTCTTGCTAAGTTCCATTACAACTTTTAGTCCTTTCCCTTTGGCACTAGTGCTTATATATTTAAAATTTTACTTGTTCCTTCGTCTAATTTATACATAATTTCATTCAATTGGACATTCCTAAAATATCTTCACCAATCAAATTGTTTGTAATTTCAACACTGAACAAAATGACAATAGTACACTTTACAGTGTCTCAAAAAAAATGTTATAAGTACAAAATTCTCAATATTTTTTATAATTTTAGCATTTACCCTAAAACATAATTGAATACTTAAAGAGCAGGCTCTCTTGACTGCACAGGACAAACTTTGTGTTTTAGTGTAAATGCCAAAAATTTGAAAGATATTGACCATTTTGTACTTGTAACATTTTTTGAGACACTCTGTAGTGCAAGTTGCTGTTTACTATTTTATCTTCCTTTTAAATCATTGAAAACACACTGACAAGCGATAATCTTAGCACAATTAACAATCGAACATTGAGCTTCTTCATAATTTCTGATTTTTGATACCCACCTAATCTCTTTTGGCTACTTGGTATATTCGATTCAAACTTTTTTATAGCCTACAGTAAAATTTTAAATGTTTGAAATGAATGTACTTTCATGTATATAAAAATAGAAACATTTATGCATGTCCTAACTTTTGAACATTTTAGTTTGTTTTGTAGTTTAGCTATCATATCTGTGGCCTCTTATATTTTGATGCTTCTCTGCCATGTTATTTTCCAAAAAATTAACATGGCTGGAACTCCCTAAATTACAAAAGGCCACAGCTTTGCTGCACATTATACATAACTATCTGAAATATACAAAAGTTAGGACTTGAACATATGTTTCTATTTTTATAAAGTGTTGCAATATAGTCATTTGTTTGCTTATTAACTTCAAAGTACTTCCAAACATTAAAAGTTTTACTGTGCATGTTGCCTATGAGATATGCAGTGATTATCCCATAGTTGAGGTAAAATCTGTAGAATAACACATATATATATATTTATGATATTCAGACAAATAAAACTTAATGTTGTTGTGAAATGCTTTGGAAGGTGAACTATGGGATGATTTGACCTCAACTATGGGATAATTAGAATATCCTATGATTTTTTCATGATATCGTTTTAATCCACTTGTTAATATCAATATCTGCACTCATTCGGTACGCTCACTCATCCAGATATCGATATCAACTCGTGGATAAAAATGATATCCCTCAAAATCATAGGATATCCTATACGTATCACATCATTTCCTTATTTTTCACGATCAAAATTGTCAAAAAAGCATGGTCAACATTCCTTGTAACTATTATAGGTATGCCTAATTTCACAGAAAATGAGAGACATATATACGATATAAGCGTGAAAAGTCAGAACAAATGCGTTTGTTTTTTTCGGCGTTCGTTTTTTTGATGTATCGGCGATCATTTTTTCCAGAAATATTTTTGCTTGATCCACGCCCGGTGATCGTACGAAATGGATGGAGGGGGGAGTAGGCGATTTTTGCAAGAGAACTCAACAAATTTGGAAGATTTATTTTTTCAAGAGAAAATTTACGACTGAATAAATGAATAGGCGCAGTGCATGGCAGTATTTTTTTGCACTGATACACTTCTGAGATATGAGATCTATTAAAAAGGCGCATCATCACCAACGTGCGAAAGTCAATGTTTTTGCTGTAAATCAGGCAACAATGGTCCACACGACCTGTAATAAATAGGTATAAGGGACGTTATTATCACAATACTAATGACATTGCTCACTTTTTAAAGTTAGTTTCCATGCGTTTTACAAAAAATAATCGAAATAAATTAATATCGGATGGAGGGGGGGGGGGAGAGTAACATGTAAATAAGTCATGATAAGACAAGCTACTTGAATTTATTCTAATAACCACGGACATCTAATACATTCTTCGAATGAAATAAGATATCAATTATTAACAGGACTGGCATCCAGATCCAAGTATTTTTCAAGACCGCCGACTCTCGTTGGGCTATTTATCCGTATTGACTCAGTTGTTCATATAAATTAACGTACCTCAGATGCTTTGTGATCAACCTAGATAGAAAATATTGTTTCCTAAATTGTTCTGGAATGCGATTATAATACTAAATATACTTTGAACAGGTCGACTGACTAAAAAGATGGACTTTTGGCACAAGTCTCGTTCTCGTTCTCAAACAAGACGTGACAATCTTAAAATTCCCGGGAAGTTTACCCTTCTAAAAAATTTGACCTACTTTAAAAAATGGTCATTAAAAATGTATTTCTTCTTGTTTCCTACCGATTAAATTCGACATATTTTATGAGATGTTAATTTCTAATGTAAGAAGAATTCATTCGTAAGATAATTATAGATTGATTCGTAATGAACCGTAGAAATAAGTAATAATTACTCAGGATTTCGCAAGGGACTGATCTTTAGCGATCGGTAATTGTTTATTCCTCGGTTGCTATGCAGCTCGTTGAGAATTTCTTTCCAGAAGTGACGTCATTGCAACCCCTCCCCCCCCGCTTTCGTTATCTTCATCGTCTAGTTTACGAATACCACATGTAGATGTGATGTTTTAATTGATAAAAGCGAATTCCTTACGCATTTCGTTATCTTATTGTGCAATAGCAAACTATGAAATATGTTTACTCGCTAGGAGTTAACATAATATTATTTGAAGCGATTTTAGAAAATTTTGAAACCGCCATCTTGGTAATATTGATGACGTGATCACCATCGGTCAAGGTGAGGTCAAGGGTCATCCATCTTGCCATTTGCCCAGCGGAGTCTTACCAGTCGACAAAAAACGATGAAATCACGTTAAAAATAGAATTTACACTTTAAAATTGAGGCTGATTGAATATGACAAGACTCCATTGAATACAGCTGTGCAATTTACAGTCACCAAGATGAGCTAATTTTGGAGAGATTCGGGAATTAAAAAAGGTAACACATTCTGGTTTCATTCTGAAATTTTGAGGCCCATTTTCTTAAAAATTTGGCCTAAAATTAAAAAATAAGGCCTTAGAAGGCCCATTTATGACCAAAAAGTATTGTTCGTGAAAAGTCCCGGTGAAAAGTGAACTTGTTTTTGACCCTGCATAAATGAGCTAACGCTACAGGGCTGTCGTTTATTGGTCAAATTTTACCGACATCAACAAACTGTCGGTAAAGCACGTGGCTTTCTCTTTGGTACAAGGCGGTCATAATAGAAATCAAGATAAGTAAAAGAGACCGACTTGGGCAAGGCTAACTGGAGTACTGAGTTTAGTTTTTTCAAATACACGAGTTCTTGTGAATTTGTTCCATCGTAAAGACATATAACTCCCCCCTCTTCCAAATTTGTTGAGTTTTCTTGCAGAAATCGCCTACCCCTCCATCCATTTCGTACGATCACCGGGCGTGTGATCATGTAATTGTAAATGCGTATGTTCGTGACATTTTCTATCACACAAAAGACTGGCGTAACTTCAAATTCTTCAACAAATGCGTGACAAATTCTCAAATTGCGGGACAGTTGGACGGCCTGCACTCACGACACGACAGTCAAATTTTTCATTTTCCAAAATCCAAGCTCAACTCGACTAGTCTACTCACTTCATGTGCGACGCCGATGATACAAACAGTTCTCCCTTGATGATTTGGTAACATCGAAGCATTAACCCTGGGCTTAACATCATCTCCGTTTGTAGCACCCATGTCTAGCTAAATGTTCACAACTAAAAAGAAAATCAACCAAAATCACACAATCGCAAATTTCCCGCAAAATAAATCAATGCGCATGCGCAATTGAAAATTTAATCTGGAGATGTTCATTATAGTAGTACTTTTACCAAATTGGTCCTTTCAAGTCAAAAAAGTTAAAAACTTTGTAAATATTACAACAACAACAACAAGAAAATGCAGCAAACTCCTCGAGTCGAGGTCCCCAAGTCAAAAAAATGCTTGACCCTCTCATATATCTGTTGATTATCCCTGTTTATAATTGATTCAAGCATTCTCAAAATTCATTTCGTTCGTTGCGTACCTTCACTACCTGAGGCACAGGAGGTACTGATTGCACTGGGCGAAAGGCTTGGAGATTGTGATTCAAGAGCATGAAGAGCGTGGCACTGAACGAACCTATATTCCTATTTGTTATTTGTTTAGTTGTTGGTTGGGTAACATGTTTATGACGTCACAAATGATGCGAAGAATCATTAAACCAATCAGTGAAGTCTATATTAATTGTTTGTTTAGTTGTTGATGTAGCAATACGTGGCTGACGTCACAGTTGATTGCATCATATTCCAGTCACGCCATTTTACGACATTGCATAATTTTAGCTGATTCTGGCTTCATTTCACTTTATTTGAAAGACTTTTAAAAATATAATAATGAGTCAGTATTTTTTCTTATATATATTAATATTTGAATGTGAGGTCAAAGTCCGAAAATTTGATCAACTGTTTGAAATCACATTTTAAAGAGGTGAAGAAGTGAATAATTACAGGAGCAAACGTGATGGCAAAACTGCCCTAATTCACGTCACCATACTAGTCAATGGGCAAAAGGGCAAACGCCTGACTTTTTATCTCGAGTTATGGATTTATGTGGCCTCACTGGCCTATCTGAGGTTCTAAAGCTATGTCTAAGCTACATCTTGACACTAAACTCAATAGGGGCCAATCATCTACTTTTTGAAATAATTGGTCAATTGTGACACTACCCCCTCTCTCTGCAGACACAAATTGAAATTCACAAAAATGAAGGCAAAATTAATACGCCACTTGACTCGAAATTTTCCTTCAGATAACCCAAATAAACGCATTTTCAGAAGAAATGGCATGTTGCCATTGCAAAAAGATTACAACTGTGCCTACATACTAGCTTACTGACTCGTCATGATCACAATTGTGTTGGGACTACATTTATTTTTGAATACTACTTTTTTCTATTCAGCGGAAGTGACGTATTAGGGCATTTTGGCCTAATAGCCACATGGTTGGATGATTTCTGGCTTTAAATTGCGTTTTTTCCAATTTACTAGAGTTTTTCAAGTAGTTTTGTGCAGTTTAAGAATATTCTGACAGCAATTATGAAAAATATGGCTACTTCATTACCCCTGGGGTCATTTTTCCAAGAACCCAATGGGTTTCCTTTAAATTTGACTAGTTTTTCATTTACATCATGAAATCCACTGCCTGATGGTGACATTTTTCAGTATCGTGTCAAGAAATTGAGTATTTTATTGCATATTGCGCTTTTTAGCCAAAATCACTGAACCGTGAACCAGAAAATTGGACAAATTTGGCCCACTTTTTGGCAAAATCTTACTAAAACCATCACTTTTTCATACTTTATTCCATTCAACAACCTCCTGATTTGAAAAATGATGACAAATTTGATCAGTTTTGACTCTGGCCTAGAGAATTGGGACTTTTGAGATATTTTTTAGCTCAAATGTAGTCATTCAGAGTGAACAAATACATCAAAAATTGACACTTAACTCACCAATTTCTGACTGCACCCCCGATATGTACCTTCTTTCTATACTGGAAACCATAAGATGGAAAATTCAATCTTTATGATGAATAGCAACTCGTTGGCTTCCCCATTTACGACAACAAATGACATTTAGGGGTCACTAAGGACAAAATTGTAGCCAAATATCGCCAAAATCAGTGGTTTTTGGGGTAAAAAGCGAAAACTGCTGATTCAGCAAAAACATTAAATTTGTTCATGAAAATTCCCCTTTTTGCCTCCGTCCAAAATATGTTTCACACTAATAAACTTCAATTCTGGGCGATTCTGAGTAGTTTTAAAAAATTTGGGTCACTTTCACATGTGACTAATAGGCAAAACTGCCCTAATTCACGTCACCATACTAGTCAATGGGCAAAAGGGCAAACGCCTGACTTTTTATCTCGAGTTATGGATTTATGTGGCCTCACTGGCCTATCTGAGGTTCTAAAGCTATGTCTAAGCTACATCTTGACACTAAACTCAATAGGGGCCAATTTATCCTGTTCCCGGACTATAGTCCTGTACGGAGCCAATACATTTGCCTGTACGATTACAACTTGGGAGAATTATCTACGCCCCTTCCACTTAAGAAACCTACCTCAATGCATTCTAGAACTCAAAATGTAACTTCTAATATATTGGAACCGCCGATTGTCTGGGTTAGTTGGCAGAACGAGGTCTTTTTGTTTCTTATGGCTCTTTTGGTCGAAGTTCGATTAAGATGGCGGTTATAACGGAATTTCCCGAACTCTTCCGTAATAGCACGAACTTGGTTTTTCGTTACTTCACTTCCATGTAAAATGGATTTGTTTCCGGTAAGAAACATTGTTTAACCATTCGGTATACAGTTAAGAGCATAGGATGTCGACATGGCAGTAAATATTGAAAATATTGTCCGAAATTTTCGAAATTTCCTCTTACCCGAAACAAATCCATTTTACACGGAAGTGACGTAACGAAAAACCAAGTTCGTGCTATTACGGAAGAGTTCGGAAAATTCCGTTATAACCGCCATCTTAATCGAACTTCGACCAAAAGAGCCATAAGAAACAAAAAGACCTCGTTCTGCCAACTAACCCAGACAATCGGCGGTTCCAATATATTAGAAGTTACATTTTGAGTTCTAGAATGCATTGAGGTAGGTTTCTTAAGTGGAAGGGGCGTAGATAATTCTCCCAAGTTGTAATCGTACAGGCAAATGTATTGGCTCCGTACAGGACTATAGTCCTGGAACGGGATAAGGGCCAATCATCTACTTTTTGAAATAATTGGTCAATTGTGACACTTCCCCCTCTCTCTGCAGACACAAATTGAAATTCACAAAAATGAAGGCAAAATTAATACGCCACTTGACTCGAAATTTTCCTTCAGATAACCCAAATAAACGCATTTTCAGAAGAAATGGCATGTTGCCATTGCAAAAAGATTACAACTGTGCCTACATACTAGCTTACTGACTCGTCATGATCACAATTGTGTTGGGACTACATTTATTTTTGAATACTACTTTTTTCTATTCAGCGGAAGTGACGTATTAGGGCATTTTGGCCGATCAATGGTTCGAGGTCTCCCGCAAAGTAGTCGCTACGCTCCTACTTCGCGCTGCCCTGGCGCTGCCTTCGGCAGAGGAGACCTCGAAAAAAGTAGGTATAAGTTTATGAATATCTTTGCGGATATATATTTTTTCTAGGATCTCAAAATAGGAGAGGTAAATTAAGCAGGTGAGGCAAATACTGAGGTAATTTGGAACAAAAAATTGATTGAAATTTCAAATTGATTTGACATTTTTCAAAAGGATTTACTGAACACCGCTGTCTAACTCCTTAACGCCTGATCCTTAAAGTGGTTAAAATTGGTGAAATGTGCATTAAATATTAATTTAAATGCTTTTTATTCAATATTGTACAAATATATGACTGTCATATATCAAAATGAAGAGAATTACCCATATTTCTCATTTTTACCTAATTTGCATAAATTATGCAAAAATAATGATGTCATAGTGACGTCACAAGGCTGAAATTGAGCATTTTATTTCATTAAATTGAGTCATATCTCTACAGTCAATACCGTTTTTCTCAAATACTGTTCAATTATTGCAATTTTGAAAAACATGGATTTGTTCTTCTTGATTTAAGCTTTAAAATGGTATATTACATGATGGGTATAAGGAAGATTTAGTGTAACTAGATTATGCTAAAGTTTGCGATGCCGAGCCAAAAATTCCAGGAATCGTGGAAAATCTCGGAAAATTATGTCGAAATGATGTTTAATTGAAATATGTAATCTATAACAAATAAACTTTTAACTTGAATAATTTTTATTATATATTATAGGCCATACTAAGGGGGATTGCTCATATACTGTTTTTGCCTAATTTGCATATATTATGAAAATATAGCGATGTCATAAGATGACGCAAGAACGGTTTGTTCCGTCAACTAAATTCCATATTCAGGAATAAATAATTTTTATTACCCGAGATTCAGTTGATAAATGTTTAATAACCCAGTTCTGTTTCATAACAGCTTTAAAATGATAAACTACATGAAGCATAGAAAAATAATATACTGTCACGACTCACTAGAATAAACCAAAGACGATCTGCGATAAGGTACTGATATTTGACAAATCGATGAAAATCATGACTCTACAATGTTTTGAAGAAATAATAGGTATAAAGATGTGTTAAAAGCAAATTTCTGCTTGTGAATGTCTGTTTGTTCATGTACTCATTATGTTTGATTGCTAATAAACCAGATAGATCATGAACATGCAATTAATCCTCAAACTGCTTGGCCTTCCATGGGTTTCCCCAACAAAGGCTTCTGATACACCCCCCCCCCCTGAATCCCTATGCTCCCCCCTGAATTCCTATGCCCCCCTCCCTATACTACTCAACATTTTTCAAAATATATTTGTGTTGATTGTCCTACACACCTTGCAACAAGATTTTAATGTGCCATGACATCTTACAGTAGCTATAAGAGTGAGGAAAGACGAAAAATAGTGAAAAAATAAAGCTTTTCACCTATTATCGCCCACTATAAAATCGGCCATAAAAATTAACAGAGTGAATTCATCTGCCATTCAAGGTTTTGTAGGTGCATAAAGGTAGTAAAATTAACAATATATTAACCCTTTACACCCTATATATGTGTTTCAATTGGAAATATTGATGAACTGACCTCACAAAGCATGGATATTGAGAAAATATTTTTAGATTGAAAATTGAATTTTTCTCAGAAATCGGGCCTTGATTGACTTGAATGAAAACGAACATATTCTAACCTTTTTCATCAATCTAGCTCATCTTCTCTACGTTCGCTCATACCCCTAGTATTATAATACTTGAAACTTGTCTCAGAAAGTGCATCTGTTGCCCCTAGATGGCTTGATATTTCAATAATTATATTTTAAATTTCGCGGTTCAGCCTGTTGGTCGAACCGGAAATCAATAATTTCAAAAATATTTAAATTTTTTCTTTTGCATTATTTTTTGGTCAATAACAACAAAATTGGTCAAAATAAGTGAACAAAGCAGTATTCTATGAATGTATTTATATTTATTTCACAACTTTATATAACAATTATAGGGAAATAGCGTGGAAAGATGCAATTATATTTTGGTAAGATTTTTCTTTATCAGGTGACGTCATAAACCCGTCAAATCGATCATATATGATCGATCCGACGTCAAGGAGCTAATCTGTCAGCTTGGTAGAGTAAATCTTGATTATCTACATTGGCAATCATACAAGCCCTCAATCTTGCTATTCTGAGGCCTTATTCACAAAGTATCGCAATTGGAATGTGATTGCTATTGCTACGCGATTGTGACATGGCAATTTTGGCGCGGTATTCACAATGACTTGATATCGCAATTACGTAGCAATCGCAATAGGATAGCAATGTGTTAGCAGCTTTACTATACAACAAGTAAATAAAACATAGGGTGGTTGAAACCAATGGTATTCGATTGATTTACGACTCTCTGTGGTGTAATAATAAATACTAAGATTAAATAAAATAAAATTGTTGTTATGTTTTAATGATTTTATAGACGCAACATCCATTAACTTGAGAAGTTTATTCGATTCTATCCAATGATATATTCTTCACTAAGTTCTATTTTGATGGGTACGGGACCCGTTTAGCCTTGCTTTAGGACACGCTTTAGGACCCGCTCAACCCCTCTCAAAATTATATCTTCTAGGAGCTTAGTTTATGTTAGCTGTTTTCCAATAAGCGTTCCATCAATCCTCGTCCTTACCTCAAACAGAATCTTATAAAACTCAAATCTTTCACTCCTCCGTATTTTTACAATTTACTCTTAATCTATTAGTCTAATGGGGTTAAAGTTCATGTTCTATTCCCTCATACTACATCTCCCTTAATGTTATAAATAATCTTGGTCTTACTCGATGCTTTCTGCGGTCTACCACTATCATCGCCATTTTGTTTTACAGTGTCTCAGACGACTGATAATGGCGAAAATTATAACATTGCGATTCATTGATAGCAATTTTAGATGAGATATAGAAAACATTCTTCCATTACATAAGACGACTTTAGACCCTTAGTATCTTGTCAGTACACATGAAATGACGATTCTTTTTTAATCGTATGTTGATGTAATGTATGTTAATCGTATGTATACCGAAAAACGTATCAAAATTGCAAATAATTCTGAGAACGCTAAACGCATTTAATTAAAACCTAATGCAAGACCCTTAATAACTGTATTGCGGCTGGTAGAGGGTAGACGCAATTATATGACGCTATTATATATGACATTATAATGTTGTTTTGTGCTTCTTAAATATTTTCATTGGTTTTCATTGAGTCCGAAGATTTTTTCTCAATGTAGATTTAAGCAGATAATTTTATTATCCGGTATGATGAATAATAATTTTACTGTTAAATGTTAAATTCTATTTTTGGGTCACCTTGTAGGTACATTTATTTTCAGTTGATATTCTAGCAGAAATGAACACTAGCCTAGGATGAACAGTAATCATCAATGACTTTCAACCCTCTCCAGAAACTTAAATCACTGTTAAGTGTTGAGGAAGAGATGGGACAAATACCTGACAGGATGACATCACAGCCTCAAAGAACTACCTTGCCATATTCACCCAATAGTGATGCAGATAGAGAAGAAGATGGTTTTGTACTTGTAGGCGATACAACGATCGAGAGGTACTCGTCTTCACATGTCATAAACACTTAAAGTCAAGGGGCCTGTGATGCCTCAACGTGCATCATGTAAAGTGAATTCTTCTTTTAATTTATCTCAAATGATTTGATACACTAATATGTTTTATATGTTAATATATTTTGAGCTAGTAATGGATATGATTCACAGCAGAACAAGAAATGATACATTGATCTGATCTCAACTGAATATCATACTGTATATGAACCAATGTATCACCCATATACAAGTACAGTAATATATGTTTTACTAAACACATTAATTTTAGATCAACAGTTTATCCAACAAGTGCACCAAGATCTGGCCATTCTATTAACCAACCACCCAGCTATATGGAGTATACCAGGTCTCTCTCACAGGAACAAACAAATGTAAGTATTAAAGGTGCAACAAGTAGTGCAGATTCAACGATCATGGACCAGTGTCAAAATATATTTAAGTTTGGATATTTTATCAAGACTAACATCTATTTTTATTTTCTACAAAGAAACCCCCTAGATAATCATTATTTCAGCTTATTCCTCTTGAAACATGGTGGATCTTAAAAATATAAAAGTGAACGTCCTCTTTTTGAAGCTTTGTTCTGAATTTACACTTTTTAATGCCGAAATTGATAGTTTATCCATACATTTTAAGAAAATAAGTATGTCGAAGAGGATGTTAAGCCAACTGTTGCCTTGATAGCTCAGAAAAAGTTAAAATTTCCCTATTTTCTCTCTACAAGCCTTATTGCCCCTTTAAGGAAGCACTTACACGTACAATGTAAATGTAGTAAAAACCCATCAAACTCAATTATGTATCGTGAGCCTCAAACCTTGCACATTAATCTCTCTTTGCAAGCGATGTTTGGAGATCAACTTGTGTGCAATAAATAATATGCTTAAAATAAATATATTCTAAAAACATTGTGACAAAAATTAAACTACATTTTATTTTGAAATTATTTTTGGGTATGCCAGAGTTTTCGAAAATTTGTTTGGTTTTAAATCATATTAAACTTTAAAATACTATGTGTAGATTTAGTTATTTAAGAAAAGCAATTTGATGGGCCCAGGCTAGAAGATGTTGTACTGTATTAATATTATTACTACATTTATTATATAGTACTATCAGGGCCGTCAGATGGGGGGGTGCGATGGGTGCGACCGCACCCCCCTTTGACACCCCCCCCAAAAAAGAAAATTGAATTGAATTTTTTTTTTCATTGACTCATACACTTTGAAAATGCCCAGAAAGCACCAAATAGCATTTCAAAATTGTAAAATTTTCTGGGGGGGGGGGGGGCGGGGCCACCCCTCACACCCCCCACAAAACAATGGAAAAGTTCTGAATTTATTTGTCTCAGACACTTTTAAAGTGCCCTGACATCATCAAATACTAGTAGCTCCTTGATATAGTCAATGATTCTTGGAGACTAACATTTACTCGCTCTCTGGCATCCCTACCCCACCTCTCTCTCTCTCTCTCTCTCTCTCTCTCTCTCTCTCTCTGGCACCCCCCCCCCCCTTTAAACCCCCCCAAATTGTAACAAAAATTTGATTTTTTAATATTTTTTGTTGAGTCATATACTTTGAAAGTGCCTAGAAAGCACCAAATAGCATATTAAAATTGTAAAATTTTCTAGGAGAGTTGGCCACCCCTCACATCCCCCACAGAACAATTGAAATAATTTTGAATTTTGTGTATTGTCTCAGACACTTTTAAAGTTCCCAGACATCATCAAATACTAGTAGCTCCTTGATATAGTCAATGATTCTTGGAGACTAACATTTACTCGCTCTCTGGCATCCCTACCCCACCTCTCTCTCTCTCTCTCTCTCTCTCTCTCTCTGGCACCCCCCCCCCTTTAAACCCCCCCAAATTGTAACAAAAATTTGATTTTTTAATATTTTTTGTTGAGTCATATACTTTGAAAGTGCCTAGAAAGCACCAAATAGCATATTAAAATTGTAAAATTTTCTAGGAGAGTTGGCCACCCCTCACATCCCCCACAAAACAATTGAAATAATTTTGAATTTTGTGTATTGTCTCAGACACTTTTAAAGTTCCCAGACATCATCAAATAGCTCTTTGATATAGTCAACGATTTTTAGTCGCCCTCTGGCATCCCCATCCAACACCCCCTCTGGCACCCCCCCCCCCCTTTGACAACCCTCAAAAATTGAGAAAAACAATTATTTTTCAAATTCTTCATGGACTCATACACTTTAAAAGTGCTCAGATCCACCAAATATCATTTTAAAATTTTCTTGGAGAGTTGGCCATCCCTTAAATCCCCCACAAAACAATTTGACATCATCAAATAGCACCTTAATATGGTCAATGTTTCTGGGGGACAACCACTTGGTCCCCCTCTGGCACCCCACACTTCACCCTCTCATCCTCTTTGACACCACCCCCAAAAGAATTCCCATTTTTTGATTGACTCATACACTTTGAAAGTGCCCAGAAAGCACCAAATAGCATCTCAAAAGTGTAAAATTTTCTACGGGGAGTGGGCCACTCCTCACACCCCATACAAAACAATTGGACAGTTTGGACACTTAAACAGTCACCAAGTGACATAATGAACTCATAAAAATTTCTGGCACCCCACCCCAAAAACTAAAGCATTCATTTACTCAAACGCATTAAAAGTGTTCAGAATAAATGAGACAGCATCTTGAATTGGTAGAATTTTCCTGTGCTGTCCCCTCGCTCTCCTAAGAAGAAAATAATTGAAAATTTGAGTAACCGCCCCCCCCCCCCCCCCCTTTGACTTACGCAATTTGATTTACGCGGCAAAAATTGACAATTTCATATTCTCTTTAGTAAAAACCGCACCCCCCTTGGAGAAAAGTGTCTTACGGGCCTGACTATGTATCATTTCAGAACTGTGAAGTTACTGCTGATGCCACCATGATTCAATCTGCACACTTGGCAAATTCGTCAAATGTGAGTATAACAATTTTCCAGTCGTTTGATTCTTTGAAAGAGAGCTTTGTTTGTCTAAATAAAGTAAGTAAATTCAGGGTTCTACTAGGCTTTTAGACTCCGGAGGTTTTTCCGGAGTCTAATTTTACATTTTTGTCACATTATTTGTGGTAGAACTCTTGTGAAAATACATAAAACTGGATACAAACAAGGAATAGGAAGTCAGAAACCTTTTTGAAATAAATATTGGGATTGAAATAGCAAGATAATCTTAAGAAGTATGTTGAAAAGTGTACTAATAGGATATCTCTGGTCTCACATGGGGGAGAAGTAGTCGGGATACCGCGAAAAAAGTAGTCACAATACTGCTAAAAATCTGGGGTCTAAAAATTTCCTGGTGAGAACCCTGAAATTGTTATTGGTACATTTACTGGACTAAAATACAGACTGGTAATCATATCCTTAACAGTGGCGTAGCTACGTGTACGCCAAGTACGCCCAGGCGTACTCTCAAATTTTAAGGAAAAATAAAATTTACCTGATTAATTGTGATGAAAAATAAATATTTTACCAAGAGATAGAAATCGATAGGAGATCTATGAAGATGTCTACACGTGTTTGGTCCAGCTGCTAACATTGCCAGTATCCACTTGCGTGGCTGAACGAAGCTTTAGCAGTTTGAAACGCATTAAGTCATACTTGCGTTCCACAATGAACGAGGAAAGACTTTTTTCCTCGGCCATGATACATATCCATAGGGAACAGGATATAAACATTGATACTGTTATTGACATGTTCGCAAATGCAAAAAACAGAAAGATAGAATTTATTCTATAGAATCACGTACAGATTGTTAAGATCCGAAATGGAGTTGAGACGGTCGTGTAACTGTTCTTTTATTATTAATCATCTTGTGAGCTAGATAAAAACAAACACAGAAAAAAAAAATATTTCATGGAGAATGACCACAAAAGCTTAAAACAATGAGCCTCATACATACAGTTTTAGGTAGCCTAAAAATAAAATCGCCTTGATAGACGGCTTCGATCGCCGATGGCATGATTATATAGAATCTGTCTATTTTGTTTCCTGAATATTATCTGTTAATACAGTTAATTCAATCCCTTTAAAAAGCTATGTCAAAATGATCAAACAATACATATTCCCTTCATTGAATTAAGATTGTTTAGTGTGTCCCCTATCTTCTGAACACCCGGGATCTTCCTATTTTATGGAACCATCGTTTTGTTAATTTTGATAAAACCGGGAAATCATACGGGCGTACACTTGCAAAATGGGCTAGCTACGCCTCTGCTTAAGTTAATTTATTACGCTGTAGTTGATTTGTCCCGAGCAAATTAAAAGCACTTTAAGTAAAATGGTCAATAGATTACTTCAAAAATCATGGTCCATGGGTTGCGGGATAATAAAGGTCTATGTCCAAAACAATGGAATACACAGTCTTTTACTTGTAAATTATTTCTAAACCAAATATTTCTCCTATACTCTAGTCAAATCATATCAATGGAATTCATATCTCACTTAATCAAGATGGTGATTTAATGATGATTCTTTTTTTCAGATACAAGTGCCTAGTAGAATTCAGGCCTCCAATGGTACCTTAGTAGAACAGTCTGAACATTGTTGCAGTAGTGTCACCGATGTGCCCTTTGTTCTCTCTCCTGTCTTGTGTGCAGGGAATACGACCAACTACTACATTGCACCTTTGAAGACTTTCCAGCCAGTGAAATACAACTATGATTTTACACTTGAACGTTCGGTTGTTAGCTCCTGAGGGGATTACAGCTATATGAAGACATGATGTAATAGTATTGTCTATAAATTACATGTAGCAGTCATACAGACTTTGTACAATCATCTTCGAGACTTAATGCAGTAGTTATACAAGTTTATACAATGACTATCAAAACTTCAACAGTTGTTGCGACTTCATATGATGGTTATTGAGACATCAAACTATAATTTCATATAATGGTTCGTAAGGATGTAAAGAAGCCATCTGTCCATATGGGTCATTGAGACTCATACAACAGTGAATGTTCATTGAATTTTCTTTTTTGGTTATTGACCATTTACGCTTCAATGGCTAGTCAGTCGTCAATGAAACTAAAACTGAATGGGTGGGCATTAATATATTTACATACAATATAATTATGTGGAAGCTAAAGCAGGTCTATAATTTTTATATCTATATTTTAGATATACATGTAGTATTATTTTTTTGAAAATACTCTTAGTACATGTAGTACCTGGAACAGTACCTGTATAGTATTGTACATATTTTATGTGAATACTCTCTAGATTCATGGAAGGGGTTATTTGGTAACCAATTCAAATTATATTAAAACAAATTCCACCTACACTATCCAAAATTACTTTCATTTACTATATCATATATTCATATATATTATATTTCATATATTTTTTCAAATATTTAAATATTCCCAGAATGTGCAATAAGATATCAAAGTGTATAAATATATATATATATACATTTTTTGTTGTTAATAAATACATGTTTAAAGTAAATATATATTTTTTATTACAAGTGATTAAGAATGGGTCATTTTACGAAGGTCCAATATAATATTTTCCTAGAGACCAAGAATATCATGTCACAGAGGCATTTATGGCCACCGGGTCCAAACATGCCATGTTCTGCCATGTTGCCAAGTGGTAATATCTACAAGATGCAGTCACTTGGCATATACTTGTTAGTAACATGGCAATATTTTAGCAAGTACCTTTCTGACAAGATGCTACTGGTCTAGCATGTGAAAGACAGAGCAACTGGCTCAACATGGCATGTTGAATGTGCAAGTGATAATTCAAGATTTATTCTAGATTGGAACATGTACTATTTTGGTTGGACATGGCATCTTGTTTTAGCATGTGTACAATGTACATGTATCAGAATTTGTGAGTACTGCCATGTTCGCATGTTGGATGTGCATGTTGATTTATACATGTTGCATTGGCATACTTGCCATCTTATATTTGCATGTGTGCCAAGTACCTTGATTCAAGTGATCCCAAGTTCACAACTTACCAAGTACGCATGTTGTCATGTGATAAATATGGCTATTGGCTGTAGCATGGCATGTTGGATGTCCATGTTATAATAATGTCTATTAATGCTCAACATGGTTCTACTTGCCATCTTGTATTAGCATCTGTACCATGTACCAGAAATGTTGGTGGTGCCATGTGTGCATGTTGCCAAGTTCAACAGACATAGTCATTTATTGATCCTGGCAATGATCTTTAATTCATACATTGTATATGTGTTGGATGAACATTGTGTCAATGATACATCACACTGATATTTTACATTTTCTTATGCTGTATTTAAAACTTGACTCATAACTTATATTTTTGCATTTGTCATGTTGTTTACATTTTGTATTTTGTAGTTAGTTTAGTCTAAGTTATTTTTGTATATTGTACATTGTACTGACTAATATGTCATTGTGATGACATCTGAGTAAATAAAAGATGTACGTGAACCGTGAACGCTGCTCCTGCCAAGTGGACACTTTATCATTAGGGTTTGGTATGTGATCACCGCTCCTGCCAAGTTGACCCTGTATCATTAGGGTCTGGTACGCAATCGCCGCTCCTGCCAAGTTGACCTCGTATCATTAGGGTCTGGTACACGAATGCTGCTCCTGCCAAGTGGACCCTCTATCATTAGGGTCTGGGACACGATCGCCGCTCCTGCCAAGTGGACCCTGTATCATTAGGGTCTGGTACGTGTCCTGTGTCCTCAGTGGGTAGGTCAGGGTTAGGTAATCATTTAAAACCCCATCTGGTTTAATAGGGTTGGTTAGGGTGGGTTGAGGTTACGGTTTAAACTCATTTCACTTTGCAGGAGCGTCGTTCATGTGCCAGACCCTACTGATAGCGATCGCTGCTCCTGCAAAGTGAACCTTGTATCATTAGGGTCTGGTACACGAATGCCGCTCCTGCCAAGTGGACCCTCTATCATTAGGGTCTGGGACACGATCGCCGCTCCTGCCAAGTGGACCCTGTATCATTAGGGTCTGGTACGTGTCCTGTGTCTTCAGTGGGTAGGTCAGGGTTAGGTAATCATTTAAAACCCCATCTGGTTTAATAGGGTTGGTTAGGGTGGGTTGAGGTTACGGTTTAAACTCATTTCACTTTGCAGGAGCGTCGTTCATGTGCCAGACCCTACTGATAGCGATCGCTGCTCCTGCAAAGTGAACCTTGTATCATTAGGGTCTGGTACACGAATGCCGCTCCTGCCAAGTGGACCCTCTATCATTAGGGTCTGGTACACGATCGCCGCTCCTGCCAAGTGGACCCTGTATCATTAGGGTCTGGTACGCGTCCTGTGTCCTCAGTGGGTAGTTCAGGGTTAGGTAATCATTTAAAACCCCATCTGGTTTAATAGGGTTGGTTAGGGATCGCTGCTCCTGCTAAGTAGATCCTGTATCATTAGGGTCTGGTATGCAAACGCCGCTCTTGCCAAGTGGACCCTGTATCATTAGGGTCTGGTACACAATTGCCGCTCCTGCCAAGTGGATCTTGTATCATTAGGGTCTGGTATGCGAACGCTGCTCCTGCCAAGTGGACCCTGTATCATTAGGGTCTGGTATGCGATTACCGCTCCTGCCAATTGGACCCTGTATCATTAGGGTCTAGTAAGCGTCCTGTGTCCTCAGTGGGTAGGTCAGGGTTAGGTAATCATTTAAAACTCCATCTGGTTTAATAGGGTTGGGGTTGGTTATGGTTAGGGTTAAGGTTAGAATTAAATTCTTTTTTTTATATTTTGACATAGAAAAATTTATTTATTTATGGAATTCATTTTTTAATTTATTTTACATTTTTGACACACATATTCATGGTCTTAGGGTTAAATTCATTTTTTGGGGTAAGGGTTAAATTCATTTTTTGAATTTTTTCATTTCTTGTTATCAAATTTCCCGCCATTTTTCAAATAAAAGTTGAATTTTTTTTAATGATGCGCCACTTCAATGGTTTAGCATATCAAAAATATTTTGCAACTAACGTCAGACCTGCCAACCTGAAATTGGTTTTGAAGGAGGTCATGGTGAATAAAAGTTAAATGAAAGTTCATTTAGTTAAATGAAATGGGAAAACAAAAGAATATGACAAAAATTAATGAGTAATCAGGCTGATTATTAAAAGCCCATGATGTAAGTTGGCCCTGAACAAGTATTATGAGGGTTCCTTTGCTCGCTCAGTTTTTACAGAAAATATACATTTCCTTGCTGTAAAACTGAAAGTAAAAGAAAGAAGTCCAATAATCAAGGTTACTGACTGTAGATTTAGCTCAAACACGGTAGATTAAGGGAGATTTCAGTCAAAAATACGGGAGGTTTTTACGGCCATTTTCACAGGAAAAATGGATTTTAAAAAATTACCGTAGATTTTAGTAAAACTACGGTACAGGAGATAACAGTAGTTTTACGGGTTTAAACGGTATGGGAGTTTTGTTGCATTTACGGAAAAACAAAATATTTTACGGGAGATTTACATAAAAACGTATGGTCGGCAGTGACATCATTTTTTTCCAATGTCAATCTTTTCTTATATGCAAAACTTCAAATATAAACCAATGTTGATTGTCTAACCTGAGATTAAAAGGAAGTATATATGTTTGAAATATTATGTACCATTGGTTTCTATGAGAACTAAGAAATTTTGAAATACATTTTTCTCTGAACCATTTTAAAGCATTGACGAGTTCATTTCTCGCCTATTTTTGAACCAATTTTCTTAATTTTTCACCAAAATCATGTGAGGATGAATGCTATGCATTGGTTTGAATTATCGCTTATTAGAATATATATGTGATCTCTAAAAGTTAGTTATAAAAGTTAGTTTTATGTAAATTTATAATTAGCAATTAAAAAAAGTTTCACATTCTTCCATATAACACTGAGTAAGACTACAGTATAAGCCAAAGTGATTTAGACCTTATATGGGGACTTAAAGTGCTATTGATTATATAAATTCATAAAGATGTGCATTTATGGTCTTTCTACAGAGCAGAAAACTCATGGGCAATGGTAAATGTTCTATATTTGCAGATATACAGATTTTCAATTCTACATAAATACAGTTATATTCTTATTTCTACTTATTCAAGAATTCAAGATGTTTCTGACCAGGGAGCCTACTTAGTGAACTAACTGACACTCAGATTGGAACATTAATACAAGGATACTATAATGTTCACATGTGTTTAGAATTGTGTTAGAATAATTGTATATGATACAGTAATATGCAGTTCATAGCTTTGTAACATTAACAAGTTTATTACTTCACAATTATTCCATAATAAAATCATCTCTACATAATAAATTATTCTCTGCAATCTATTTTTGTTTATGAGAACATAAAGTTAGTAATCTATTATTATCATATTGAAATATTTTACATGTGTGAATTCTAAGATATAATGCAAAGAAAAAGTCAAATCCCTCATGGAATTCTTTAAAAACAGCCCTCCCCCTGCTTCCCTCCCTGGTAAAAGCTGACTACTGGCCTGAGAGTGGCAGAATACAAATGTAGTCAGTGCCCGGGAGTTAGTGGTCAGCTAACCAAGAATATTGTAGAGGATGATTTCTTCATATGCTTACTACAAAGCTCAAACTTGTATACCAATTTACCATTTTTTAAATTACATTTTCCAAATTTGTGTTCATTTCATTCGTTTTACCGTTCATTAAACAAGCTTTTTAGTTTAAAAATATATTTTATCATTTAATTTCCCATTCCAAATAAACAAACGTGTCATTTTGGAACTTGATCCACATGCTGCACATGAGAGATGTATAGTTGAAACTTGGCAAGATGCTATTCGAACATGCAACATGGCAGCATGCCACTTGGCAACTTGGTCCACATGCTGCACATGTGAGTCGTATGGTTTAAACGTGGCAATATGCTATCTGTACATGCAACATGGTACCATGTCACTTGGCAACTTGGTCCACATGCTGCACATGCGAGCTGTATAGTTTAAACTTGGCAAGATGCTATTTGTACATGCAACATGGTACCATGTCACTTGGCAACTTGGTCCACATGCTGCACATGCGAGTTGTATAGTTTAAACTTGGCAAGATGCTATTTCAACATGCAACATGGTAGCATGTCACTTGCTAACTTGGTCCACATGCTGCACATGCGAGACGAGATGTATAGTTTAAACTTGGCAAGATGCTATCTGTACATGCAACATGGTACCATGTCACTTGGCAACTTGGTCCACATGCTGCACATGCGAGTTGTATAGTTTAAACTTGGCAATATGCTATTTCAACATGCAACATGGTAGCATGTCACTTGCTAACTTGGTCCACATGCTGCACATGCGAGATGTACAGTTTAAACTTGGCAAGATGCTATTTGAACATGCAACATGGCAGCATGTCACTTGCTAACTTGGTCCACATGCAGCACATGCGAGATGTATAGTTTAAACTTGGCAAGATGCTATTTGAACATGCAACATGGTAGCATGTCACTTGCTAACTTGGTCCACATGCTGCACATGCGAGATGTATAGTTTAAACTTGGCAAGATGCTATTTGAACATGCAACATGGCAGCATGTCACTTGCTAACTTGGTCCACATGCAGCACATGCGAGATATATAGTTTAAACTTGGCAAGATGCTATTTGAACATGCAACATGGTACCATGTCACTTGCTAACTTGGTCCACATGCTGCACATGCGAGGTTTATCATTAAGACTTCGAAAATTTTGAATATGGGACTTGGCAGCATGTGACTTGTAACTTGGTCCACATGCTGGGCAACGTGTATACTTCGTACTTGGCAAGATGCTAATTGTACTTGGTGCACATGGCATGTAGTACCCCGGTGGCCTTAGCTGCACAGAGGTGTTAAATCCATATTCATGTCCTGAGTAGGAAATAAGCCTTTTGTACCATGATATTGACTGATTTAAGTCGATCAACTACAAGGATTATCAAATAGCACACGATGATCTCTATAAAAAAAAATATGTGTAAATTTTGAATAAGATAAATAAATAGGATAAACAAGATTTATATACTCTAATTGTGATATTGAAAATGGTTGAAGAAGAAGGGCTCCATGTAATCGGGGCAAAATAGGATACAGGGCAAAAAGGGACACGTGTGTTTTCTCCAACTGTTAAAGACTGTCAGCAGAGGTGGTCAGCCTCCACCTTTATCAGCATCTCAGCATTTTGATGTTAATGTGAGGCCAATCAACTGTAACTAAACACAGGTGAGGTGGTTTTGTGAACCATATACTGGGACAATGCTCAATTCAAGCATTTAATAATGAGGAAAATTTCCATTAAAGGAAGATCAAAGATCTATAATAAAACCTGTATATAGTGAACACCTATGGAGCCACAAAAAAGTGTTCACTGTAGGTAGGTGTTTGCTATAGAGAAGGGATTTTATACAGGGGTCAATGTAAATAGTGCTTTAAATTGGTGTTCACTAAACACAAGTGTTCATTAGAGAAAGATGTTCACAAAGGCAGGTTTAAGTGTAGTGTAACAAGCCAGACATACACCCAGATACAGATATCAGAGTGTGCTAAATTTAATGCTCCTAATGTGGGAATTGAACCCAGGACCTTCTGGTTGAAAGTTTGGTGCTCTACCACTGAGCCTTAAAGACTTATAATTATACTGTAAAGTCACCACAGTTGAACTTTGGTAGCTATAGCTGTTGAGAAATGTACTTAAATCTCAGTTTATAGACCAGCCCCCTAGACATGCTAGAATGGCCATCCCCAATTTCAAATTTCCCACCACAGTAACTCATGAAGTCCTTTGGATGAAATATTTTACACAAACATTTATCAAATGTCTGCGACAGATGAACTCTAAAAAGATGGTTGAGGAATTTGATGAAAACAATGCGATTGGCCTATCTGAGCAACACAGTCAACAGAAAAATTACTTGTTTCAATCCCTTACAACCATCTATTGACATGTTGTAATGGTACATTACAATACACATGCAAATACTACTTGGCTTCATGCCAACTTGGCAGCTTGCCAAAATGGCTCTATTGGCAAGTAAGTTATATTTATCAATAAAGAATTGCTAGGCAATCATTCAAACTTTGATAACCATTCCATCAAGCGTTGCACACCCTGATTTAGAAAAGGGTTTTAGTTAATTGTTTCAATTTCAAATAATCACTATCTAAAATATCATGACTGAAGATGATAGTAAATAGATAATCCAATCAAACACCTGTAAAGTGAATGGCGTCAGAGGTCAAAGGGGAATTCCCTGGTACAAGTTTATCATTAGCATATCTAATTAATTGTCTATCCAATCAGAATCCAGAAAAAAGTCACGTGGTGTACGTGTTGTGAGCAATTTTTCTAGTTGGGTCGAGCAGGAAATTTTTCATGGTGGAGAAAGAAAAAAGAAGCCGGTAGAAAAGGAGAAAAAAATCGAATATTTATATTCATTTTCCCTTTTACGGCTTTATAAAAAGATTCATAGTGAGTTTATTGTCTATTGACATCAAAATGTCGAATCAAACAAGCCAGAAAGTGAGACGAAATCAGTCACCTTCAACCATGCAGCGACCGATGAAAGCGATCCATACGTTTTCATTGAAACAAGGTAGCCCTACCCGCAATAATGGTCGAAAAAGTAGTCAATCGTCATCTCCTACACCAATAGCAACATCTGACGGACATAGAGTAAAGACCAGGCGATCCCCTGATAATCGTTCTTCGCCCGAAAGACGTAGTCCAAGTTCCCCAAGTCAGTTCAAAGGTAAGGCATTTTCATGTGAAAAAGTGGCGGCCATCTTCTTTTGGCATTGATTTTGGAGGGAATGGTAGTCCAAAACCTGTAAAATATGCACACCTAACAAATTAAAATATGGAAATCCTGAGAGACCCCACTTAGTAAAATCATTTATTGACTTAGAAATTCATACAGCCTGTCACGTTATTTCATTTTTAGCTAGCAATTTTTAGTACATGGTGGCCATGGTAAAACAGCTTCTCAAACAAAGGCAGACCTATCCATGTTTGTGAAATGTGAAGAGTCCTATGAAATGGGAACCTTCAAGTGCTTTCCCCCTCTCATTATTAAATGCTCTATGTTGCTACACTGTGCCCCCAGACTGTGTCGTGCATGACAATAGAAGGATACCTGGTGATCATGGCAATGCCACAATCTAGTTGTGGGTCGACCCATGTAAAGCCCAACATACACCAAGAAGACATCAAGAGGGCACCTTGTAACCTCAATATACTTGACATTGCGTGGAACTGTTAGACTCCATGGGGCATTCCCCATGCAGCCCTATGGACCTCTGTGTGACATTGCCCTATGAAGTCCCACAGAGCCCCTTCATCAAGAATGAAGATCATGTTCATTATTTCAATTTACAAAGTGAGACTTTTGATGATGTGACATGTCAGGTGCTTTGTTGCATCAAACTGGTGGTGGCAAAACTTTCTAAACTTTCTAAAGGGGCATGGAAGTGATGGGACTTTATGGGACAAGGTCAATGATGTCCCCTAAGACTAGATGGGGGAAGGAAGGAATCAATAAGAAATGAACCATTAATCTAAAAGAATTACTTTACTTTCATTTCACCGTTACTATGTTCCCGGATGTACCAGCGTACTCTTATTAATTTGTTCTGTTCGATATTTTAGTGCATTAGCATTCGGTATTTCAGTGCACCTTTCTCGAACTTTTTCTCGATGTGCATCGATGTTTACTACTGAAAATTGCCGATGCATCGATGTACGATTATGGCACATTGCGACAACACTATTTCTGACACATTAATTAATCTGTATGAAATATAATGATCAACATTCAATTGTTCGATATGCATTTTTCAGTTGTAATATTTTTTTATTTTTTTTCAAATGTTGCCCTTTGTGCTTCCTCACTATGATGTAAGATAATGCCAAGATGATCAATTGTATTGATTATACTGTTTCACTGGTGATCCACCTGATTACGCTGATTTCGGTAACGGAATGTCGAAGGTACGATTTTTGTTTTTTCCTTATTTCACGCGTTGTAGGCAGAATCCCCACGATATTTTTTCACACAAACGTGTATCAGTATCATATGTTTTAGAAAAGGTACATGTTTGCGAAAAAAATAGCTCAAAGACAACAGAATCGTCGATTTAATTCCTCATTTAAGTTACAGGAATGGTATGGGTTAAAAGTGCAGATCTTAACTGTTTTTCGAAATACCGTTTCTGTAACTTAAGTGAGGAATTAAATCAACGATTCTGTTGTCTTCTGAACTATATGTTCGCAAATATGTACATTTTCCTAAACATATGATAGTACTGATATACGTTTGTGATAAAAATGTCATTTGAATTCTGCCTACAATGTGTGAAATAAGGAAAAAAACAAAAATCGTACCTTCGACGTTCCGACATTTTGTTACCGAAACGAAGTGTTTCTCTAAAACACTGCTGATTATCTGCCTATTATACTTAGATTTTGCCTTCACAAGGTAGGCCAATTTATATTCTATGTGATATGTCAAACTAAATTGATTTGTCTCTTGTGTCAGCAAAATCTCTCATCATTTGGACCGAAAATTTTTTGAAACGGCGTAACTGGAATTTTAAGCGGCGTTTTTGCCGTCCGCTGGCTGTTATTGAAACCCCAGAACTTTGAAAATGAGAATTTTGCACATACGTCCTACAGAAGAAAAAATCTTCTGGAGAACACAGTACATACATGATAGGATATTGATTTAGTTGAAAATGGTGGCCATCTTGAAAGATGTTGGCTGTTCCATGCTATTTTTCTAGTTGCTACAAAACACGGATTGTCACGGAAAGTATTGGTGCTATTATGTTCATATTAGATATGTGAATGCTTATAAGCATGATACACTGCCTTATGACACTTTGGCTAGTAGACAAAATGGCCACCATTTTATGTGTGTTAATTTACATGTTTTGCATGTTATAACTTGAAAAGTTGTTGACATTCAATATTATATCTGTTAATATTTAGATTAGAAGGATATTACACTTTCTTATGACAATTTGGCTAGTGAGCAGCCATTTAGAAAAATGACGACTGGCTCAGTGGGATTTGCAAGGCCTTAGCAGCTGTTATCTAGTTGGATATTGTCCTATTTTCTCCTTTGGTCCAAATTCTTGCAGTCTTCCTAAAAAAAGTGAAAAACACAAAAGTAAATGTATCGCAGGAGCTTTTTGAACTTCTTACAGACTTCATTCTTGCCACAATGGAGCAAAATATAGGGCTTCTATTATTTTTGCACTCCACCTAGGTAAATACCTACCAACCTACCTACCATACCTTGTAGGATTTAGTGGAGTGCATATCACTGTCTGATCTCAGACATATTTTCACACTGATAAAGCAGAATTTGTTGGGATGTACCCAGTGTGTTGTCTGTGTTGCTTGTTGCACCAATATTGTTTATATATTTGGATGGTGTGATAAGTAATAGGGATGGAAGAGTCCCATTCTTTGATACTTCGCTTTAGTGCTTTCTACCTAAACTTGAAACTTGTCTGTTATCATGCAGTCTGTTGACCTCATTTAGCAACTATGATTTTTGAACCTACAGGATGTAAGTCCATGTGCCTAGAGGGGCAATAGTAATGAAAGTCACTGGTGGAAATGGCACAGACCAATAACCATATACTGTTCTAGGAAATGGATTAATCCTATTCAATTTCCAAATGAAAAATTTACAACTTTAAACATATCCTCATTATAGCATTTTATAAGATATCATTTTGTTTCATGTTAGTAGATAGCTCTAAACAAGTACATGTAATTCAGTAAAACACCTCTCTCTAGTGAAGACCTGTCTCTAGTGGACACCCTTCCTTCGCACATACTCAATAACCCAGATGCGAGTAAGTAGTTACCAGTTTCGCCACCAGGGGGCTCGTTTGGGTCATATAGCATGGTGGGTATTGTACAAAGTTCCCTTTAACTTGAATTACATCTGTTTTAATGGTTCAATTTTCATATAACCCTTATGTATCTAATAGTAATGCAAATTAAAATATGTCCAGTATGAGAAAACGTTATCTTTTCAATACAAGAAAAGATATTTCACTTTTTGTGATTTTGTAACATGAGGTCTATGGGGAATCAACGCGAACTAGAAGTCACATTTTCAAAGTTGATAAACAATTTTCGAAACCATATCTCTAGATGTACTTTTACATTTAGATTTCAAATATGACATCACTTTGACTGAATTTTGAATATTAAATGATGTAAATCAAGATTATTTCTTCTTGCATCTAGTCTATTGACTTCTGTATAAATTACCCTCTCTGTAGTGAACACCTATCAACACTGAACATTTTTTTTTAGCAATGAAAGTTCAATATACACAGGTTTTCCTAGAATACAGTTCAGATTCAGAAGAGCTATTTGACTTGGACCCAGGTCTGCATATGACACACAAGGAGGAATACCATCAATGCGATCCTGTCACACTTATATAGATAGCTAGGATCAGTCAGGTCTGACTTTATTTCAGGATAGGAAATTAAAAAATGCAACTCCTTTATTTGATCTGATATCTCAACTCTTATTTCAAAAAATTAAATAAGGATTAGAAAGAAACATTGGTCAGTTATTAAAAAGATTGCTTCGAACATACTTTATACTATCCCTTCAAATTCATTTAACCTTCAATTTCCCTGACCCAGCATAGAAAGTTTTGAGTATAATGTTTCTAAAATATTTATTTTAATATAAACCATTTTATGGTCTGTAGAATAACAGTCTCAGCAAATATAAACAGTCTTTGGTAACACACAACATTATAATTTGACACTGCCAATGCTTATGTGTGATCTCCATGTCATTTTTAGTTTCCAAAAAAGGTCAAGGTGAGGTTCATCAGAACTAATGTACTTGTGTACTCTAGCATGAATGGGTTTTACTGAAATCAAACTTTACCTACTACTTGGTGAGACTTCAGACTCTAAGCAGATGGCTGAGAGATTGTTTTACTTACATTTTAATTTTTGGTAACTTGCAAAAAGGATTGCCTGAGTTTGACATGTACAATAAATGCCATTGAATTGGAGTCTTGGTAATTCATACCTTCGCAATAAACATTTTTTATTCAATTTATTTTTGGTGCCTTTGCTAAAAAGCCAAGAGAAAAATGTCCACATTTATGATTGTTATGAAATATTCAATATGGCTGCTGCGTAATGCATATGAACTCAGTGTAGAAATAGCATGATTTCAAATTGATTTACCAATGATCCTGTATATAGAGGAGATTACTCAATGTCAGTATGTATCACATAACACATATTAAACATTGTAGTGGATTAAATTGCCAATTTTTCATGAAATTTGAATTTGCAAATGATTAAAACTGATCTGTAGATACAAAAGGTGAAACATTATGATGTATAGTTAGCAACAGGATGTGAATAACATTTCAGAAAAAGGTTACAGATAAGGTCAATTTGCAAGAATATTCTCTGGGAATATGGTGGAAGTAAATAAGCATTTTATGTTCATGTAAAAAGTAATTGTTAATAACTTAAACACTGTTATCGAATTTGGTCCACATTTTGTAGGTCTATATCTTACGGGCATAAGATCTCTTCTCGAGAATTTTCAATGGTCACTCATTTTAAAATGGCCACCATTTTTTAGAAAGAAAGTTAATTTTGATAAGTGATAGCTTAAATACCAGATGATGGGTTTGGTTCAGATTTTTTACTCTGATGCCTTACTTCAATATGGCCCTTTAATTCAAAA